TATATATACTTTTTTGAAAGTATATATATATAGCTAAAGATCACAATTTCAGCTGCTAAGTGTCTAGGGAAGGATCTTAAACTATTTCTTGAAATTTTGGCCCAGTGTGTACTGTAGTAGACACATAAAGATAAATCAAGGAGAAAAATGAATGTAGCAATATTGACAGAGAAACTTCTTTGATAAATACTGAGATTTAAAACGACAGGCTACTGTGTAGCTTGCCTTGCAGTAATCAAAAAAAAAAATGTTAAAATATTAATCCTTTTAGTAACTGCTAGACTTAGAAATTTTTAGCATCTCCCTTAAGAGACATGAGCCAGATAGAAACTTAATTCTATCTCACCTAAAGGCTTGTTTTACTTCATTAACTAGATCACATTGCCACTGTACCCAACCCAAAGTGTCTACACTAGATACAAGGCATTTAAGAGTCATGGAATCAGGTTGGGGGAGTGGCTCAAGTGGTAGAACACCTGCCTTGCAAGTGAGGTCCCGAGTTCAGTAGCCCAAAAAAAAAAAAAAAAGAAAAAAAAAAAGGTCATGGGATCAAAGTATTTAAGTCATTACATGAAGATACTAAACAGTGAAAACATGTCTGTAAAGGTGAGGGGATACCACGTGTATAAACTCAAAGGCAGTAACAGTATCAATTCAGCTAGATTCATCAATAATCTTTAACCAGCATCATACTATTATAACTGAAGATCTCTATTTTAGTAAAGAAAAATCCTAGATGTACTAGACTCTAGAGGCCTACCTACAATGTTTCAAGACCTCGTAAGGTAGGTTTCACCTACCTATGTGTAATTCTCCTTTCTAGGTTCTCCACTACCAGGCACTCTCAGCCCAAGTTCTATTTGTCCTAAAATCACAATTCCTTTCACAACTAAGATTGGATTCATTTACTTATGGGAACTGTAGTCCTGTAAGGAAAAAAATGGGTATTTGATTCAAGACTTGGTATGCATTTTCAGGAAGTAATGTATCTGCTCTTATTTAAAGGCTGCTCTTTCACTATTACACACCCACTTAAAAACTCAAGCAGCTATCTAAGGAAACTATATTTAATTGTTTCAATGGAGTCAAACTATCATGGTATGTAACAAAACTAAGAGGTAGGTTTTTTTTGTTTTGTTTTGAAACCTCTCTTCCGGTGTCTCAGGTAGGATAATCTAAGTATGATTTAAAGAGCAGCATGGACTTCGAAACCAGTTAGAAAGCCCTTGACACAGGTTCAAATCTGTGTTCTTTCACTTAGTATAGGACAAGTTAATCTCTGCAATTCCAGTTATTTGCCCTTTGATCTCTGAGGAATAAACCCAGCACTATAAAATATCTTCAACTTCACTCCCAAAGAGTGTTTTTTTTACCTGAGCACATCTTGGAATCACTGAGGAGAGTAAGAGCGGGAAGGGAAAGAAGCAAGCAGGCCAGGTACTAGAACAGACTCCAGATCACTTAAATCAGAACTTCTGCCAGTGGGCCTGGGAATCAGGTTTGTTTTTCCAGTTCTCGTGGGACTCTAGTAACTAGTGTTGTTTATATTCAAGTAGAGACCAGAGTTATTGGCTGTGACGGATCCCCTGGCTATGAGATGTCCAGATGAGAGTGTGGCAGATCCCTGCCTCCTGCCTTTTTCCTTGTGATAACCGAGACTAAGCTGTATAAAAAGTCTTCTAGGTAGATGGTGTGCATTTCCGTTGCCCTTATGCCCGCTGAAAGGTGGGAAACTGGCAAGCCGTGTAGTACCTCAGTTCTGTGGGCTCGATGGGTGTTTAGCTGCTAAAGGTAGGAAGAATGAGTAGATTCACTGCCAACTAATGCCGCAACAAACACAAAACTGAGAAAATTAGGATGGTCCTCCAGCCATCTGCTTCCTGTGAGGCCAGTCACAGTCATTCCTCTGATAAGTTGTAGAAAAAAACCCAAAAGATGACTCAAAACACAAAATATATCTGCAGTGTTTTGAAGAGAGTCCCTAAGACCAACAGAGGGTCAAGAGGAAAATCCATCCTGTATCAACTATAGATGAGGGATAAAAAAAAATTGTGAGACTTTGCAGGTGACCCGAAAGTTAATAGTACTTTATTGCTGTTTTCTACAATCTGTAGGGCAATATTCACAGCAAACTTAACAAGGGCTTGAATATCTACTATGCACTGTCCTAGTCACTATACCTTTATACCAAAATGTTACTAAGCACTGTAAATTTTAAGATTTCATAAATCGCATTAAAAATGGATCTGCATGAATTTGAACCCAAGCATTAGTCATTTAACTTCATAATTGGACAGTTCTCTCAAATAAAAAACAGCCTAGCAGGTAAATAAAAAATGCTACATCAAATGGAATGTATGAAATAACAAGTTAAGCTCTTTAAAACTTTTTTGGCTATAAAAAAGTTATGAGTGAAGCAGCTTATTCTCGGGTCCTTTTTAATGAACTGAAAAAATGTTATAATGTTAGCTGAATACATGCTTCTGAATACATGTTGAAACTAAGTTAACGAGGGCAAGAACTAGTAGTTAATATTCCAGAATTCTGAACTTAAAGAAGGGAAGAGGACCCAGGAGACAGCTTTGTCCACTTCTCCAAACTGTCACCTTTCCATTTTCAAGGAGAGGACACGACGAAGCAGCAGTGTAACTATTTGCAGGCAGTATGGCATTCAGAAGGAAGATGAGAGGCAGCAACTAGTTTACTCCCTCACTAATAGTCTTGAAAAATACTGCCATTTGTGCTGAGGCACGAAGCAAAGGTCCCTGGACCAATCCATTTGCAGATCAAAGTGATTATTTACAAGTTTATAGAATCTGAAGTTAGGAAACAGTGGGACGCCCTAGGGTGTTAGGGAGAGACTGTTAGGTGTATAGGTAACTGAATTCAGAAATGAGAAAGCAAGTCAGGGGATCCAGAACACACTCCAAAATCGTCATCACTTCCTCTTATTTCTAAACAAGAGGATAATTTGTATTTATTGAGTCCATGTTGAAGTTTTGCCAATAGGAGAAATCTACATAGCACAGATAGAAAAATTTCCAGCATATATTCATCAACTGTTTTCTGTTAGGAAGAATTATTCTACTTGCATGAAATAATGCAAACGCTTAAAAACTAGGGCCGAGGCTTCCCATTAAAAAATGTTAAGGACTATCACATGGTTTTGTTAGATTGCCAATATCACCTTTACTTTTGGTGTGAAGTTTGAAACAAAGTCTACATTCTGTTTTTGGCACATAGAAGTCTATAAAGAGCACTGAATATTGTTGAATTTTCATGCTTGTGTGTAGTTGAGAAGTTAGTAAAAGTTCTAATTTACACAGTACCAGTCTTTTTCTTTCTTCTGGCTACAATCCCCAGATGAAGCCTTTCAAAGTCAATTGGATAAAGTGGCAGGCAGGAATATTTAGACTTTCTTATTACATACTGTTTCTTTGTAACTGAGGCTGGCCTCAAACTTGAGATCTTCCTGCCTCTGGCTGGGATTACAGGCAAGCACCACCATGCCTAGCATCCTCTGCTTATTATTGTCATTGTAAAAGTGGATATATCCTAATGGAAGCAGCAGTTTGCATTTTCACTAGATACAAAAGATATATCTTCTCCTTTTAAAATATTATTTTCCCCAGAACCTCCTGCACACTACCATCTTATTTCTACATACATCTCAGGTTGCATACTGAAAGGTAAGGTGCAATTCAGTGAAGAACCTTTTTCAAAAAAGCTTTATTGCTACAGGTTGTGAGATTTTCTTCCATTTTGGCAAGAGTTGGATTTGAATACAGGGCCTCTGGCTTGCTAGAAAGGTACTTGAGTCACATTGCCCATCCAGGTTTTGAGATTTTCAACCATCAAAACTGGAACAAGACTTACTGTTTCTGCTTCCTATGCTGTAACATAGCGATGTCATGGAACTTTGTTTTGAATTGATTTAGCAGTGGGTTTAGCAAAGTTTAGATTGTAGCAGAATGATAATAAGAAATTTTTAATTGCTGGGGATACAGTCCAGTGGTACAGTGCACGCACAAAGCCCTGGGTTCAATCCAGCACCACACACACAAAGTTTTTTCTGGGTGCGGTGGCACATGCCTGCAATCCTAACATTCAGGTAGGACTCATGCAGGAGGATTACCAGTTCGATGCTAGCCTGTATCTCAAAAAACCAAAAAGGAACCTTAAAAAAAAATGGTTCGCCGAGCAGGTGCCGGAGGCTCATACCTGTAATCTAGCTACTCAGAAGGCAGATACCAGGAGGAACAAGCCAGCTCTGAGGCAAATGACTCACAAGACCTTATCTTAAAAAAAAACTGAGTATAAAACAGGGTTGGCAGAGTGACTCAAGAGGTAGAGCACCTGCCTAGCAAGTGTGAGAACCTGAGTTCAAACCCCAGTACTGCCAAAAGGAAAAAAAGAAAAAAGAAAAAAAAAAAACCAGCATGGGTTAGAATAGGAAGACTTTCATCAGAAAAGTTAGTCTCTGAATTTTCTTAAGATTAATTTCAGAATTCAAGGCTGGCAACAAACTAAGAAAAATATATAACTATCTTATCCAATAGTTCTTTTAGCTTTTCCCAAATGGATGCTATACACATGGCAACTAAAATATTCCTAAAAGTTGTAGAGAAGAGAGATTTCCCTGAATTTATCACAACCTACCTGAATGGGGACCAGGGTGTCCTGACAGCTTCACACAGCCAAGCTTTCACTTCATAGCTCTAACAGCAGTACGCTATGGGGTACAAGAACACTGAGAAAAATAGGGCCTGATAAAGCCCCAGAAAAGCTCTCCACTCTACTAACATCGTACTTCTTTTAGTCATGCTATTATAGATCACTTTATTGTTGTGCATAATAAATAGGTACACAAAATGGTGAAAATATATAACTCAACTATCAAATTAAAGCTGAGTAAACTAACCTAGTCAGATTTTAGTTTTTCAATGAGAAATGACAAGAGTAATTGAATATAAAGAAAAACAAAAAGAATTTTACTTTCCTATGTTAATACAGGTCAAGGGACCCTTTCTTATCAAAAGGGTTGATAACACCAGTTCTTAGCAATAAACATAAGGCACTTGTTTAGATTACAACATCACTGCATTTTTTCCACTTGTTTTTCTAACCCTGTTTTCCCCCCACAGTATCATTTGAAAATAATAGAATAAAGGAGGCAAATGTGAGATGATCCAGGTGATACTACTTGGAGCAAGAGTACAGTACAATGTTTTAGGGGTGATGTCTGGACATAAAATGAACCCAGTCACGGTCCTCTGACACCACACAATGTATCCACTATCAAGTAAACCTGAAAGAAAATAAAAGATTTATTCAATAGTTCCAGTAAAATTGGGTTGGAATACAATATACATATTAGGAAGTTAGCTCCTCATGGTGGCATCTGCATTTAGAGTTCTAAGTACTTCTGAAGAGTCATTCTAAAACAATCTACATCATTTAAACATTGTCAAGACAAACAGATGGATTTCATTTGAATATACAGTAGAGTTTAAACAAAAGTCACACATACACCCCTGCTTTATGGCTGGTGCCTCCTCCAAACACCTCATCAGTGGCAGAGGTGGCACTAGTGTTCTATCCTAGTAATAAGAACTCAGTTGCCACTCACAGGAGAAGTAGAAAAAAAGTTTGTCTTTTTTGCCATCTGTTAAGATGTTCCTGAGACAGGGCCAGTTAATAAAAGAAAGCAAAGCACTGGAGTTCGGTCTGTACTGCTCTTTACATCACTAACCTGTAGACTGGGATAGGGAATGCAGGTCACGTACTATGAAAGAATAAAAGGATCACGTCTTTTGAAAATTCCTTTAGAGTATATACTCTAGAAACTGAAAGTACTACAAAAAGTTCAATTATACACACTTGATTCATTTCATTTCTTCCTATGTGCTCGGATCTTGTAAATGAAATGAGAGTACTGAGTCTGAGGCTAGTTCTCAGTGTACAGGTTGGACATGTTTAAGGCTCATTTTCCCAACCAAAACAGCAGTTTTTAGCTTTCCTTTCAGATTATGAATTACATTCATAGTACCTGCCACCATCCTAGCCCTTGAAGAAATCTTAACTCGGAGCAGCATTCCGCTTCACTATGGAACTTCCCTGACACCAGCATTTAGCCCATTCCAAAAAGATCCCATCTGTATCAGCTTTACAGTGCCTCTGGTGCAACCTCTGTTTCCACCTGTGTATTTTCACAGAAGCCCAACACAGATTAGTGGAAATATTCACACAACTGTTTTTCAAAACAATTTATTGCATCATATTTGGTACCTTATGTTTGACAACAAAAAAGAAATTACATCTGTAACTGCAGGAAAAAGAAGCTGGTCTGTTATTTGGAAAAAAAAAAAAAAATCTTGGGCCCTTTAAAAATTACAAAGTCTTGGGCTTGCCTGAAACAACTGAGCAAGAAATATATTCTTAGAAATGTAGGGCTTCAAGTATTACAAACCTGTGACACTGTGGAAAAATTCCAGAGGTATCTAAACTGCAGCACTTTTTTTCTGCATATCGTGAACAAGGCCTGCTGAGGTTTTTAACTATTAGTCTCTTGATCAGTCATAGAATGGTAGTCAGGAGTTCTGCTCTTTAACTTCAAGACATGGTAGATTTTCTTGTTTTTTCTCACTCTTGGGTGAAAAATTCACGCTTACTAATTAGTTGGTGCCACATCACAGTGCATTTGGTTCTTGCATTACAGTTTTAACAAGTTTGGCCAAAACAATGCTGAAAGGTTTGCATTGTTATTTAAGTTCTTCAAGTTTTAGTTAAAATTGAGATTGTTCCAACTGGTTCCTTCAGTTAAAAACTGTGGTACAAGAACACCAAACTGATCATGTACAGTGAATTTTGGAAACACAACAAGCGTATTGAACACCTTCTAGGTTTCTTATAATCCTGCTTGGTAGCTATATGTCCCAGTTTCTACAACATCAAGCATCTGTTGTAGATTTCTCTGTAAATAGTGATTCACATTGCATACTTCCTATGGTCAGAATCAACCCCGTAACAAAATCAGTCAGATGCTAAAGCCCCAACAACTCTTTGTGCTCAGTGAAAGAATCCAGTGCTAAAACAGCATTAATGCTGTCTGAGATAGAGTAAAATCTCACAAGACAATTTAAATTAATATTTCTGCCACACACCTGCTTTGTTAGCTATAACAGCCTCCAGATTTTATATAAATTAGTTTAAAAACATGGATGGGAAGGTAGGAGTAGGATAAGGTATCTTTTTTTTTTTTAACCCCCCAATTTTAGCAGCTTTTAATTTTTTAAGAAACTGAACCTATATCCTGTAATGTTAGATATTTTATATATATTTTTCAGCAGGATAAAAAACGTAAAACACTATTTGAAGGCAAGAACATTTACTCTTCTCATTCTGTGTAAGTTAGAGCAATGCAGCAGGTGCGTGACAAAAATATTATACACTAGATATGGTCCAAAGTCATTCCATTTGCTTGTTTAATGATGTTCAAATTTCATTGGCCAGTTCTTCGGTTTCTGCAGAACTATCTCCATTAACTGTGATCTTCATATCTTCTTCATATCCAGGAGGCATGAAAGCCAAAGCATAAGGGAAAAGCTTATGACAATTTGCTCTATAAGCCTCAGCAGCTTCTTTACAGTCTCCTAGGCTACCATCACGCAAGGCTCCTAATACCTCCATGCAAGTCTAAAGAAAGAAAAAGGTCAGGTTATAACTTGTCAAAAGGGTTTCAACTATGAATCTGAGATATTGCAACAGAACAGATTTCCAAAGTAAGACAAAAAAATGGACATATTTAAGGAAAACAAAAACATTTACTTCTACATACACATTCCATTAGAATGTTCTTGAAAGTCTAATTTTTTAACATTTCTTTAGAATTGCAGGGCTTATAAAAAAGGATAAACAGAGGTAAATATATGCACAGGGACACTGCTAAGGTGAGGCAATCAAGGTATACAAGGTGTTTTATTAATTATTTAAGGTGTTGTATTTAAAGAGCTATTTTGAGCAAGTCCATTACCCTATACAGGGACTTGATCAGCCTCGTCCTGGCCCTGCACACAGACGTCAACACTCACAATGCCCAGTACTGCATGTAGCCTTTTACCTGTTTCAGAGGCTTAGGGCCAGCCAGCAAAACCAAGCACTATCTTTAACTTTATATTCAAATTAAGGAGCAATCTCAAGGAATGTCAATAGCTAAGCAGAAAAGTTTCCCAAGCACAAAGTGATTATAAGCAAGAAAAAATAGGCTCATGAAAATCTGATTCTCCCACCAACCCCTATGTAAAGCTGCTTCTTACACTTTAACAGACCCATGTGGGCTTGTATGTCTTGTTTTCTTGAAAGTAAGAAGAAAGCACTACTTACTTTCCAGACACATAAGACCCTGCAGACTTTGTAAGGAGGAAAGACTTTAAGTCCACATTCTAATTTAAAGTTGTGTTAATAAGCAAATAACAGATCCAATTTTTCTTTCTTAAACCTACTGCCTTCATTAATATATTCATTTGATAGTAAATGAATATATTATAGCACAAGGTAGCTGTTATTTTTAGTTTAAATTACAATCAATATTTTGCCACACATTCATTTCTTTAATGTCTTTAACTTGGCCCCTGTAAATACATCTTACATGTCAGAATCCTCACCGAGATCATTACTTGCTTAGAATTGCACAATTATGTATCGAAATCCAAAAATAACTATGGAATCTCTATATAACTGTACTGGAACAACTTCTTTAAAAGTTATCCCAAGTTACAAATGTGAAACTAGTTATTAAGTGGCTAAGCTGCCTAGTGTGCATAGTGTGTATAAACATGTGTATGCACATGCAAACAATCCTAAATAAATTTAAAATAAGGTAGGTCTCTGACACGGATTCATAATGGTTTAGAGTAGTACGCATAAATAAAAAAACTCATGTCTCTTGGAGGAAAATGAAAATGAGGCTGGGTTTGCTCACAGATGATAAACTCTTTACCTGGAGGTTTCTGTTAGTGAGGGATTCGTCAAGCGTCGTTGCCAACTCAATAGCTCGTTTCTGACTAGAAGACTCTAAATAATATACCATTTTGGCAGCTAAATGAAAAGAAAAAAAAAAGAAAGAAAGAAATTTGTTTCACTTTAAGGTAAAGCTAAAATCTTAGCCTTTACTCATTCAAATAAAAAATGCAAGGTATATGTGCACAGTGCAGTGTATTAGAAAAATGTGAGTAGCTGTTAAGAGACACTACTTGTCTGTGTGTGGGACCATGGGAAGTTTTCTTTCTAAAATAAACACAGTGATTTGGTGGTGAGGGGAATACTTCATTAAGCGCAAGGTGGAGAGGGAGCTGAGAGGGAATCCCCAACCTTGGCGGGTGAAACACAAAACTACTCAGGTTTCCCACAAAGGCACATAAAGCTGCTGGGCTTCTTAGCCAGGTATTTAAAAGCACTCCACTAGGGGGAAGAAATGACCCAAACATTGTATGCACATATGAATAAAAAAAAAAAGCACTCTACTAAAGCACTATTCCTGTGGTCGCATGAGCCAGACCACTTTGGCTCATGAGCACAGACCATGATCACACTTCTCCTAAACTGAGACAGATGGTCTTAGGTATTCAGCATTGTCAAGTCTGATATCTACATAAGCATAAGAAATGGAAGGTGATGGTCACATGGAGTTAATTTTACAGCACGATGGAAGGGTAAGAAGAAAGCAAGCTCCACCTCCAGTGTATGTAAAACATATTTAAATATACCTGAGCTAAAAATGTGCTTTTTACCTGGTCTTTGATCCATTAAAATACTAAGATTGATTTAGAAGGCTAACAGAAAGATCAAATAGAGTGATTACCTGATAATCTGTGTGGCAATGAATCAGAATTCCTTTTGAGAAAAGTTTCATTAAAATTCTTTGGATTTGTTGCTCCAAAAAGACGATTCATTTCTTGTTTTAATACTGTTCTAACTGTTTCAGGTAAATCTTTACTTTCACACACTGCTGAATAAATTAGAAACAAACTCTCTTAGAAGTTAGATACTCTGATAAAGTTTGTAGTAATTACATTATCTACTTGATGAAGGCAATGAAACACAGCAATTGTACACAAAGACTAAATAACTCCTACTGGTAACAGTTAAAGAAGAGCTTACTTACATAAATTTAAATAGTATGTATCAGCAGAACAATATAATGAATACTTTAAATGCACTGTAAGAATTTCACTGACAGATAATTTGTTTCTACATAGGCACAGAAACTACAAAAAAAATTTAAATGTAGTTCCACAGCCTTCTAAGCCCCTAGGGCTGTCTCCCTGAACCTAAAGAATAAATAACGTCACAGCTCATCCTCTCCATCTTTTATACCCAAGTAAGGTACCTTTATCAATTACAACAAAAATAAAAGTATGTTTGGCTTCACTGACCTTTACCATTCAGGAACTATTAAACTGAGCTATTCACTTTATAATAAACTCCAGAGGACTACCAAACCACTTTTCTGCAATGCATACTCTGCAGTCATCACACTTGTAGGTCTTGGGATTTGGAGATGAAAAAGTAGACTCCAATCCCTTGCTAGTAGACCCCTACAAGAGTACAAGTTCTTGCTAGTTTGGTATACAGAGACAGTGTGGAGTTTTGGAGCCAGACAGACCTGAACCAATTTCTTGATCTATAAAATATGGTGACAGGTAGCCTAGAAGGACAGCAATAAGGAAAAGCTACTATGTAAAAATGCTAACTGTATAACAGATACACATTCTGGTATTTTCTACATGGATCAATTTCTATGTGAAGTTTTCACATGGTAGTAATGACCCACTAATACTTGACTTCATTATCCTATTAATGAGTCATTGCCCTAAGTGTAAACATCTGAGTAGTAAACACCAAATGAAATATTCTATGCATAATTATTAATCGAATAATTCACTGATACACACTTTGTGGGTTAAACAGCATTTATTGTATTAGTATACAGAATGGCATAGCTAAATAAGTGAGGTTCTAGCTAAACAATTTAGTTTAACCTCCATTACGGTTATGATTTCAACTTCATTCTGATAATTTTTCCATATTGTCTTCCAGGGAGAAGTAGGAGTAGAGAGAACAGAAAGACAAGTTGCTAAAATAGATTATGGTCAATTGCAATGAGCATAATCTCAAAAGTTACAGATCTTCTATAAGGTAGTTATTTCCATGGCCCAGTTGCTATGCCTGAACTGCTTCTGGGATACTTTATATGTTGATGGCAGAGTAACTGGACAGTTTGCATTACTGTGGGTAGGTGGTGGTAGGATGACTTTATGATTTTCATTATATTCATTAACTTATTTTCCGCAGATTAAATAATCTCCCCAGAAAAGTCAAAATGCTTTAAAAAAACTCCAGAAAATTAAAAAAGAAAATTTCTATATACCAAAGTCCCAACTTCACTAAATAGCTGTTTGTAAAACCATTTCCTCACATACTAACTTCACAAAAAGTCTGAGGTCATGGAACCTGTAATTTCCATGAAGGTATCAATTACCCCCCTGTCCCTAAGGGGGAAAAATAAACAATCAAGAAGAAAATGAACGAAAAAAAGTAACACTTGAAATCTCCCCTGAAATTTTAAGTAATGAAATTTTACTTGTATCTTTAAGAAAAGGAACAACTTTAAATGTCACAGAATACATGGCTTATTGTTGCTAAAGACTAGTGGACATAAAAATATCTAAAGATTCTTTGAAAGTGATAAAACTAAAGAGGTTTCAGGAAAGTAAAACTCTCAGATGACTTATTTACCTTCCATGTAGGGTAATAAGTCTCATGAATCAAGGAACATCACCGATGAAGGGTTTTTGATTTGGTTCCTTTGCAATAACGTTTAGTTCCTGCTAACAGCTTATCAGCAGTTAGAATTAAATCACCAATGGTTATAAGTCACTTTGAAAAAGGCTGATTCTTAGGAAAGGCGTTCCCTAGGTTCCCAGGCTAGCTGGTGCTATTAACAATTTGGGTAGAAAATACTCAGTATTTTGTGTGGGATTAATATGCTCTCACTACTAGGCTTTAGCACAATCTACTAAATGATTAGTACTAAAAAAATGGCAAAATGAATGAGAATATTAAGCCAGGCCTAATTAATAAATAATTTAGTAACTTAGTAATTATTACATAATAATGAATTAATAATTATTTAAATAATACTTAAAGTATTAAAGAAGGTTTGGGGAAGAGACACAAAATGCAGACGAAAAATGTCATTAGCAGATAAAGAAAACTGGGGTTGCACAAACTAAAAGAAAAAGATTTAAGATTCACTTGTGATTCGGGCAACCACACAGTGCTGATTTTAAAGTCATGTATGAGAATATGAACATGTAATGGACTTTAAGATACACTGAATAATAAACTCCTATCTTTTACTTAGTACTTGCCAAAAATATGATTTAAAATGCTTTAGGCCCTATAACTAACAGTGAAAAACTTGAAAAAGACAACAAATCAACCTCGTAGTTAAAAAAAAGAAAAGAAAAACAGAAAAAGAAAAAGGGAGGAAGATAGTCTTGTATGATAAATGACTGTATGGTACACATTAATTACAAACATAGTATATTCTCTTGAATATACTATGACATATTCAAGAGACCTGGAGCATCCATTAACCTTGCTGAAATGTACAGTCACTTAGAAGAGTTTTTAAAACCGATAAAACAAGCTGCATTTTCCTCTTCACTCCGCAGAAGGGTCTGTGCATGTGTAAGGGCTAGAGCAATACTTACCTGGCAAATGTACTCCTAAAAATGTGCTTCTAAATTAATGATCTACAAATTCTTGGGGCCTAATAAAGACGCTCCTATATTCTGTATCATTTCACAAATGCTTTTCTTTATAGTACAAATCTATTCTCAACAAAAGTAATGATAAGTGGACTATCCAACATATTAAAGGCCATTTAAAGACATGGTGTACGTCCACCCCTCAAATAATCAGGGCATACTTTCATTGCCTATACTAAGTAAAAATAAAGATGTTGTAAATTCTCTGTGACACTAATTTCAGTCAAACACCTAGAGTGAGGTGCAGTCAGTATAGACACTCAATAATTCTAAATAATTATTGACACAGGTCTTCTAGTTTAATTATTAAAGCCATTAATGAAAACTATCATTTCTAGCCTTAATTTTCTGGCTCATGATTTCAAAGTTTCTTAATACTCAAAAAGACTAAAAAAAGAAACAAACTTTGATTTTCTCTAAATAAAGGAACTTTTCCATCTTCTATAACATAGTCACATTTTTACTAAAAATGGAGAAAAACAGTTCTATGATTCAGTTTCTAAAACAGGATTTTTTTTTTTTTTTTGACAAACATAAATGTAATTTAAATAAGGCTTTACCTCTGCTTGGAAGTCAAAATGAATTTAGGATTTTTTTTTTTTTGTGGGGGTGGATTCCTGGGTTTCAAACTCAGGGCCTGGCAAATTCTAAGCATGTACTCCACCACTGAGGTATACTCCCAAATACAAATTTAACATTTTAAAAAAGTGACTGGGATGTCTGGTTTAATTTCATCATCTTTATATAATACATGGAGCCATCAAGATGATATTAATATTCCCCAATTCCATAATTATTCTGTTATGGTTATATTTCTTCCTCAGTGACTTAAAAAAAATTAAAGCAAAAGTAATAATACCGGCTGACTTCAGGAATACTTTACTCTAAATTTAAAGTTCTGAATACAGGCTGATCATCCCTAACCCAAAAACTGGAATCTGAAATGCTCTAAAATCCACAACTTTTTGAGCACTATGCCACAATTAAAAATTCCATACTGTCATTTATGTGGTAAGTTGCAGCTAAAACACAAGTGTAACTATGTCCATTCAAATATTCCTGCCCCATTGCCCTACCCCTGAGATACCTAACACCTAAAACACTTCTGGTTATAAGCATTTCATATGTTTACTTTGCAACAGAAAGGACAATATGATGACCTTGGCTTGAATCCCTCTTTCACTGCTCAGTATTTATTTAGGTTAACTACAGTAAGCAGTCTAATCTTTTCTTCTTTCTTTCTTTTTATTTTTTTTTAAGACCCTGCCCTAGTCTACTCCTAGTTTAACCTCCTAGGATCCCAAATTTCTCAATTATAAAATGAAAGATAACCAGAAAAAAAATATTGTACTTGAGCTCTAAAATTCCATGGTTCTACTTCAAATTAAAATTAGTGTTGATCTAACTGTCAAAATACTTAAAAAGCAGAGGTAAGTGTTTTAAAGAATTTTATGACCCTTAAAAATTGTGCTAAGCCAACCTAACTCTGGCAAATTGAGATCTACAAGACAGATAAATAAGAAAACTAGTCACTTTCAAAGCAATTCTTCAATTTTAAAACAATTTAGTAGAGTACTTATATAAACTTCAACTTACATTAACTTTTAGAAACAGAGCCAAAGATAACTCTCAAATACCCAGACTGAACAATTCAGTCAAAATCAAAGAACATTTATGGCCTTAAAGACCTTCACCAAAAGGAGCCCTGGTTTTCCTTCAACTACTTTGATAATGTAACAGCTTTAAAACGAACAAGCTCATGAGAAGTTTGCACAGGTCACTTATGCTGCTATCAACTGCTATGATCAGTCATGGGAAGCAATATACCAGTACTGAAGAGCCGGATCATGCACTCATGAAGCCAGGGGTGACCAGAATCAATAGCAAACGCTCTCTTCACTGATTGCAGCATCAAAAGAAACTTCTCTATAAAAGAAAAAGATATGTTTTGATAATTTGGAAAAATAAGTTGGCTTCCCTTGGAGGGTAGGACCTAACAAACAGAAAAAGTGAATTTAGACTCAGTCACATCTGAGTGCAATATATACTTGAAGCAAACAATTTTCTTCCAATTAGCTAGTGTCTGTCTGTCTGTCTCTCTTTCTTTTGAGGTGCTGGTGTTTGAACTCAGGACCTTACACTGGCTAGGCAGGCAATCTACACTTTAGGCACACCCCTAGACATTTTTACTTTGTTCTAGATAGACTCTTGCATTGCCCAGGCTAGACTAAAATATGATCCTCCTACCTATGTCTCCCACATAGTTGGGATTACAGTGGGATTACAGAATTACACCCTTATACTTGGCTTATTAGTTGTGATGGGGGTCTTGTTAACTTTTGGCCCAAGTGGGACTCCAACCATAATCCTCTAGAGCTGGGAATACCACCATGCCTAGCTAGCTAGTATCCTTCACATAACATTTCAAATAACAAAATGCAAAGCCATTTCATTTTCTAATTTCCTTTTTTTATTTTTATTTTTGGCGGTACTGGGGTTTGAATTCAGGGTGTACACCTTGAGCCACTTCACCAGCCCATTTTTGTGATGGGTGTTTTTGATAGGGCACTGTGAACTATTTGTCTCGTTTGGAACCGTGATCCTCTCCAGCAACCAGCTTCTAACTTCCTTTCCTGTTACTGAGAAAAGTTTACTGTGCATGCTTGAAAGCGTCTCCTTCCTTATTTTGTGAACCAGGTGAAATGGTTCCCCTTCTAGGCTGTCCTACTAACCTAACACTTGTAAGTGTTTTCACCCAGGTTATGTTTGCAGTCATTTTCTAATTCCCACTATCTGCCTTTCCCAACCTTCAGCAGTGTTTCCATCTGTTAAATGGAAAACTGTACTCCAACTCTTTTTTGTTTTTAAAACCATGATCCTTTGGCCTCAACTTTTGAAGTGATGGGATTACAGGCATGTACCACCATGCCCAGCTTCCAAGTTTCTTTATAATGTCCCAAACTTGGTACCATTCTCCAAATAGCAAAGTAGAAAAGGCCACATTCTTCTGACAATTCCTTTGCCTTTGCCCCAACATTCAGAAAGCTAAAAAAACTGCCATGCTCTTTGTCATTATCCAATTGACAACTACTATAGGGGATTCTCAGTGCTGAGCCCCTTCAAGATCACAATACAGCCAAAACATCAATTTAATGAGTTTTAACTCGTACTTCCCCCACTTGAAGCAAAACAACTTCACCCAAACATTATCTATCTATCCATCATCTATCTATCTATCTTTGAGATGGGAATCTCACTATGCAGCACAAGATGGCCTCGAATTTGCCATCCTCCTACCTCTACTTACCAAACAGCTGGGATTATAAGAACATTCTATCACCTAGCTAGAGAGTATGTTTTTTATTTTTGCAGTGCTAGGGTTTGAACTCAGGACCTACACTTTAAGCAATTCCACCAGCCCTTTTTGTGATGGATTTTTTTGATAGGATCTTGAAAATATTTGCCCAGAATGGCTTCAGATCAAGATCCACCTGATCTCTGCCTCCTTAGTAGCTAGGATTACAGGAGTGAGCCACTAGTGCCTGGCTTCTAAAAATAGTGTTTAAATGTGGGGTTGCATTAAATGTTACAGAACTATCTGTCAAACTTATTTTCTAAGTTATAATAATTGTGGAAAATAGAAAATATGGTAAAGTGTACTTTAATAACTCAAAAGTCTACCAAGAGATAATCTGTTATCTTTGGATATGTTTCTATCGTACCATTTCTACATCATATACCTATGGTAATAAAAAGTTCAATCTCTAGTAAGTTGGGGTTTTTTTGGTGGTACTGGGGTTTTAACTCAGGGCCTCAAACTTGCCAGGTGCTCTCTATACAGCAACTTTTTCTCACTCTCTCTTTTTTCTTTTGTAAGGTAACAGTCTCACTGTATTGCCCAGGCTAATCTAAAACTCCTAGGCTTGAAGCAAACCTCTTGCCTCAGCACTCTAAGTAGCTAGAACTTCAGACATGTCCAGTTTCTCAATAATTACTTTTGAAATAACAACCTTCTGTCTGGTTTTACAAATAATCAGTTTCTCTTTACTTTAACACTTTTTTTTTTTTGAAAAAGTGAACCACTTGGGTTGCATCAATTCAGTAGCATAAAATCTTACTATCTACTATAGATATTCTGAGCATTCTAAACCTGAAAACCAAGACCCTCTTGGCTCTAGGCAATACAGACAATACCAACATTATTTATACACTCTTGTGTTTTCTTAATGCTATGTTATCTTTTCCTTCAGAAACACGAGCCACTTTTCTAGATCCAGCCCAAAGATAACATCTTCTCTTTATAACAACTGCTCATAATGCCACAATTATCTGATGCTTACTAAGTGCCAGACACCATCCTAAGCTTGTGTATGGTAACAAATTTTATCCGCAAAATCATTAGCTCTTTCCCTGAACCACATACATGATAAACAACATGTCTGACCTGAATCCTACATATATCTAGGTCTATCTGTACATCTGTTATTGATTTTTGTGCCCAAGGAGATGTAATCACATCACTGTATTTTCCTACAACATTCTGTGTCTAGCAGGTGCTTCTGTGAGGAAGCTGAATTGATGTTTGCCCCCTTGTCTCCCAGCCAAAAAAAATCCTACATTGGTGACTCATCAGAGGTAGGTGACTATACCTAAGAAGTACAACAATCAGCTTTAGTAGGGCCACTATACCCTAATTGCCTACCTTTCCTAAAGTAAATCTCAAAGGCAAAAAGATGAGTTTCTATCTTGTTCTTCACCAAGTTCTTCAACGGTGTTAAAAATTTAATAGCTTCTTCCAATGGAGTTTCAACCTAACAGAAGTAAAAGACAGTATACAAATGGAAGTAAGATTCTTGGGGAACATAATTTTATTCTATTGAAAATACTTAAAAAAATCACTTACCGGTCACTCAGAAATTGTCATATTTTTAATCTCCCATCATCTAAACAAAGGAGATTCTGAACTCTAGGACTCTTAAACGAATTTAACCATGGATGCTACATTATTTCTGGATAGAAACTATTCAATAAGGAGGAAAAAAATGGATGAAATAGAACCAGGGAAAAACATCAGAGAAATGGGTCATATCATCAAGAGGAAAAAAAAGATTTACATTGTGAAATAAGATGAAAAGAGGTGAAAATGAAATTGTAGAGAACATTAAAGAATGAGTTCTTTAATGTTCTTTATAATTCAAATAATATATAACATAATCAAGTTATTTAAAACAGTTCACTACCCATTCTGTCCTTTGTTCTACTATAAATTCTATTTTTCATCTGGTCTGTGTCTTTCATCTTTATTCGAATGCCATACTGGCAAGTGAAAACATTTATATTGATCAAACTCTAACACTACCACTCTTTACTACTGCATCATTGTCATAGTAATAATGTACTGTAGTCACGACTAGGCAGGTGTGCTACTGTAAACACCTGGACTGGATATCAAGGCAAAACTAACCTTGCACACTGGGGTGAGATGGAGAAACACATTCTCAGGACACCAAATATCTGAATTGCACATTCACCTTGTCTTATCACAGAAGCAGTAACAATTTAGTCTCAATGGAAATTGATTTGCCGTATCTATCCAATAGTTTTACCAATACAAGTTCTGGCCAAGGAAATTACTTCACAGAAGTGAAAAATAAACAAGTTAAGCAATAAAGTGATTATGGGATTCACTGGTGAACGTATAGGACAGTGAAAGTATTCATCAAAATGCCAGTTACAGTGTAAGATGGTGTTATTTCGAAGGATATCTATGGCACTGTCACTCTACTAATTACAGGTTTAAGAACCAAGTCACAGAGGAGAAAATAGGGTCTTCCTAGAAGTGTGTTTGTCACGCACATTTGTAAATATTTTACTTCTTGCTCCCGTGACTCTTAGGTTCTGCTGGAGAGAAACGTTTCTTCCAGGGGACAGAACGAAAACTGAAATTGACAATCAGCTCTATCAAGCTTTACATCCTCTAGGGGCAGAGACTGAAATGAGGGTCACTATGTTATCAGAATAATTTACGTGTAAGACACATCTGCTATTACAAAATGGAAACAAGTAATACATAAGAACGAATACAGGCATTATGTATCACTATGAAATTAAATCAAGTACTTGAACTTGGAGGGAGAAAGCACAAATGCTATCTGTAATGCTAATAAACAACAACAATGTATGTATTTTGTTCCCGTGTGTAGTCTATTTCTGTGTGCCTCTCACAGGATAAAATTTTATCAGGATACATCTTTTTGTTTGTTTGTTTAGTTAATGAGCTTTACAGTAAATCAGCTAAGATAAACCTGCTGTATGGATGGGAGCCGTATTACTTACTTCTCCAACTTACCACGAGGCAATAGTTGTATTATGAATTCCCTATTGCACTGTTCATGTTCCTCTTCCACCCTGCAAGGGCCACTTAGTATTCATCCCTGCCTTATATGGTTTAATCATTTTAAACTTTTTGCTGCTATGTTGGGAGTATAGAGAGATACACTCCTGTACAATGTATCTTAACATAGGGGTTAGATTTCAAGTCACTTTTAAGTTTTGAAATTGTACATGATTAGAATTATTCTTGCAAATAAGTGTAGTTCCATTCTACATGCACTTAGTTTAGATAAATTCAAATTTTGTGTCTGGATGTGATTTTTTTTTTAAGAGCAAAGAAAGAGTATACATACTTTTGGGGATGGGGGCAGTACTGGGGTTTGAATTCAGGGCCTTGTGCTTGTTAGACAGGCACTCTACCATTTGAACTACATCCCCAGTCCTTTGTGCTTTTGTTATTTTTACCAATCGGGTCTCACATTTATCCCCAGGCCAGCCTGGACCACGATCCTATTTACACTTCCCGAGTAGCTGCGATGAAAGGCACACACCACCATGCCCAGCTTTTACTGGTTGAGATGGGGGACTTACGAACTTTTTGCCTATGTTGGTCTCAAACTACGAACCTCCTAATCTCCACCAACCAAGTAACTATCAGGATAAATCAAAGTGTTTAAATATACATACAGAATCACAATAAAACTAACTGCATTATACCTTTACACACACATAATGAAGTACAGGAAAACAGACACATATGAAGGGAAGTGTGCAAACAGGAATGAGATTCTGAAATCAGGCTTAAAGCAAAAAAAAGTCAAAACTACCCTTGAAAACACAGAAAAAAACAGATCTTTATTATTTATAGGAAAACACTACCTTCACCAAAATCATAATACTTACATCAAGGTGCTCACATGAAGATCAGTGCACAAAACTAGGATAAGCTACACAAATGCCATCATGCCTGGCCATCTCTTTCTCAGATGGGGGTCCTACACACTGGATAGAACTGCCAATTTTATGTACCCTCTTCTTGCTGGCAGAGTGGCTCAAGTGGTAGAACACCTGCCTAGTAAGCACAAGGCCCTGAGTTCAAACCCCAGTACTGGCCCCGCCCCGCAAAAGTATGTGTACTCTTCTTTGCTTTTAAAAAAAAACAACATGTCCAGTCACAGAAAGTTAAGTTTACCTAAACTAAATGCATGTAGAATGGAACTACACTTATTTGCAAGAATAAGTCTAATCCTGTACAATTTCAAAACTTTTAAAGTGACTTGAAATCTAACCCCTATGTTAAGATACATTGTACAGGAGTGTATCTCTCTATACTCCCAACATAGCAGCAAAAAGTTTAAAATGATTAAACCATATAAGGCAGGGATGAATACTAAGTAGCCCTTGCAGGGTGGAAGAGGAACATGAACAGTGCAATAGGGAATTCATAATACAACTATTGCCTCGTGGTAAGTTGGAGAAATAAGTAATACGGCTCCCATCCATACAGCAGGTTTATCTTTAGCTGATTTACTGTTAAACTCATTAACTAAACACCCTCCTATTTTCCATTTTCTCCTTTTCAAATAGAATTACTGCTAAATTAATAATGCTCTCATGGTATTTTATATGAATGTAATCCTAAACCAAGAACACTGAATCTGCCACTTACCACCGGGAGGAGGGCTGAAATACACGCCCACATACAGAAGCGCTACAGCCTGTAGACCATATTTGACAGGCAGCTTTATAGCCTACAATGCCTCTGGAGTTGTGATGGCTTGGTATAATATGACTGTGTCACCACATTGGGAATATGGGTAAATACAGATACTGTTCAACAGTGGCATCTTCGAAGAAGTTAGACCAAAGGCAGGGTTTTATGTTCCTATGCCTACTGTTCCTAAAAACAGTATCCAACAAGGAGCAATGTAAAAGGGGGTACCTTCAACTGCACTCTTTTTTTGTAAACAAAGCACTCAGAATCACTTTCTGCAGATATTAGTTAATAACCCTACACCACAGCCTAACATCTGACCCAAAGGCAATGATCATAGCCTAGACACCTGCTCTGGTACAATCCTTTTATTTTATTTCATTTATTTATTTATAAGCAGTAGAGGGACTGAACTCAGGGCTTGCACATTCTAGGCAAGCACTCTAATCACTTGTGCTAAGCCCCAAGCCCTTTTGCTTTTGTTGTGTGTTTTTGGTGGTAGCAGGACTTGAAATCAGGAACTTGTGCTTGCTAGGCAGGTGTTTTAGCACTTAAGCTATGCCTCCAGCACCACTGTGTTTTGTTTTTGAGACAGGATCTTACTACCTTTGTGCAAGATGGCTAGAGATCTTCCTGCCTTTGCCTCCAGAGTAGCTGGGATTAGTCATGCATTACCACACCTGGCTGCTCTGGTGTAATTCTAAAAATATTCTCCAATTCTGTTTGTTTGATTGATATTATAATTTTCCTTAACTATAAAATAGTCAAAGGTCTGGGTGCAAGGCCCTGAGTTCAAAACACCAGTACAAAAACAACCAAAAAAACCCCTAAACTAAAATGATTTTGAATTTACTGTTATTACTGAAGCTAAAATTAAAAGGCTAAAGAAATGGTTTAGTATAGTGGTTCAGCATGATAAAGCATGCAGTTATTTTCACTCAGAGTAGGATCTTAAAGGTCCTTAAAGAAAGTACATAGGTATGGATGCTGATCAAAATGGTTCATATGACAGTCAGTATCTTTTTTTTTTTTTTTTCCTGGAAGCCATATACAGTCAAAAATAGCAGGTCAGACTGTGGCTTGGCGAGAATATTTAAGGACTTTTAAGATATTAGGTTCAAACAGGGAGGGTAAGTAGAGAAATACTGTAAACTGACTGCACCAATAAATAACAGACACACAGATTGTCCCCGATTTATAACAAGCTCAATTTAATCCAGGTATAGACTTGCAAGTCACGAACGGTAACAGACACTAGATACTTTATGTAAACATTTTCTCTAGTCCTACCAAGGATTTTTTGTTAGTTCTATCTTATAGATAAGATAACTGTCAGAGAGGTTAGACAAAGTATCTAAGAGCATACAGTGGAAGCCTAAGAACTGCTATCTGGAGCCAGATCAGAATGACTCAAAAACCTAAGCTTTTCTACTGTACCATACCACATTAGTCTCAACCAGGATTATTATTTTAAGTTTTAAATGTGAAATATGATCAAAAACATATAGTAATGAAACAAAAGTAAAAACAAAATGATTTTTGACTCTAAAATCTAGATCACACTGGTTGAATAAGACAGTATAAAAAATGACTATAGTTGGCCATGAAATTTCACTCGATTATACTAAACAGTATTATTACATACCTTGGCCAGTTTTTCTGGGATAAGTTCTTCTTTTGGACCTCCAATTTCCTCATCATCATCATCCTTCTTCTTTTTCTGATTTCTCTGCTGCTTTTCTTTTTCTGCATTTTTTTTCTCTTCTTCTATCTGGGCTTTCTTTTGAGCTCTTCTTTGTTTATTACGCAGTTTCTTTAGCTCTTTGTCAGACATGTTTGCTGTAGTAATGAGTTAAGGAAATATAAGCGTGTTAATCAGATTAGTAATTATCAACCACTGCTTTGTAATATTCCCAATTTCTCATAAAATATGTATTTCATGGCATGTAAACGTGCCTAGGATTTTAAAGATTCCCTATCAGAGAGCAAACAAAATTAAGTCCTTCAGAATGTTTTTGTTTTTTAGATCAGGTGGGATACACATGTAAAACATGTAACCACAGCAAAGCAGATGAGTTCCTCTCGCAATATTAAACTACTTCCAACTCTGAGAACACAAAATGTCACGCGTCTCTACTGCTTTTAACTATACTCTCTTAGGCTATGTCTTCTCACCTGGCCAGTTATTAATTTTCTTCTCTGTGTTGTCACTATGTCTAATATATTTTGCTTATCACAGTATTTTCTTCATAAATCTGTTTCTCCTTCTTTCTATCTCATGCACAATGCTGGGGACTGAACCCAGGGCCTCAGGCAAGCTAGGCAAGCAGTCTACTACTGAGTTATATCTCCAGGCCCTGCTCTCTCTTTTTGATTGTGGAGTCCTTGTTGGACAAAAGTCTGTATTACTCATAATCTCTGTTATTATCAAGGCCTAGCTGTAAGCCAAGCATACAGAAAACATTCAAACACTTGTCGACAGAACAAATACTCTGTAATAAATTTAAAATTTTACATTAAAAACTAACTATATTCCTAGAGGTACAATGTTGGAAATATATCAGAAGAACTGAAAATCACTGAAAAATATGCTGTAATAAATTGAAAGATGTATGTACATTATTTAAATAACAAGCAACAAGTTTGAAAACTACATGCTCACTGAGAGTTTATTTAGGTAAGATTTGTTAATATTGAAAAACGTCATTCCAAAGTACACCACCACCATGGTGCTTTCAAAAGGTGTCTACAAATTCTTGTTTTCAAAAGGCAAAGCCTACATCCCTCCCTTCCCTTAAATGTGGGCTACATAGTGACTCATTCTATGCACAGAATGTTTTCAAAAGTAAAGGTACAAAGCTGGCAGACTGGCTCAAGCAGTAGAGCACCTACCTAGCAAGCATGAAGCTCTGAGTTCAAACCCCAGTACCATCAAAAAAATAAAGATAAAGGAAAAAAAAAAGTTAAGGTACAGCTGGGCACCACTGGCTCATGCCTGTAATCCTAGCTACTCAGGAGACTGAGATCATGAGGATCATAGTTTGAAGCCAGCCTGGATGGATAGTTCATGAGACCCTATCTCAAAAATACCCAACACAAAACAGGGCTGGTGAAATGCCTCCAGAGGTAGTGCTCCTGTCTATCAAGCGGGAGGCCCTGAGTTCAAATCCCCAGCGCCACCAAAAAAAGAGAAGGGACAAAGGATCTAAGATTTGATTACAAAAAGCACTGTGGACTCTTCCTGCTTCCTTTCAGAAAAGTCAGTTGCTATGTGATGAAGAAACCGAACCAAACTTAGGGAAAAACTCATGTAACTAAGAACAAAAAACCATGCCCTACAGTCATGAGAGTGACCCATCTTGGAAGCATGTGGACCCTCCAGTCCAAGTCAATGCTTCAAATACCCTTTCCTAACATCTTTTTTTTTTTTTGGGTGGTACTAGGATTTGAACTAAGCCTACACCTTTGGCCATTCCACCAGCCCCTTTTTGTGATGGGTTTTTTCGAGCTAGGGTCTCACGAAGTATTTGCCTGGGCTGGCTTCCAACCCCCATCCTTTTGATCTCTACCTCCTGAGTAGGTAGGATTATAGGTGTGAGCTACTGGTGCCCGGCCTTTGCTGACATCTTGAGATTTCCTGAAGACCCCACATCTGTAGAACCCACAGCCAAGTGATTTGTTGAATTTCAAGCCCATAGGAATGTGATGAGGCATGTTTGCCATTTAAAGCTGCTAAGTGTTTTAGGAATCTGTTTTCACCAGTTTGTCCAGAAATGGTTGCTGAGCAAAAATCAAATCCAAAGCATTGTTGGGAAACCATACCAAGAGGGAAAGCAAAAAGTTTTGCTTTAAAATCTTTTGTTAAGATGCAAAGCTTCAGAAAGACTTCTGTCAGTATGAATTAAGATTTATGCAAAATTTTCCGGGTGCAACTTACAGATCCTTAATGAAAAAACAATAAAACTTCTAGAAAATTTGAAGGCATTTTTCCCTTAGCAGAAGCCCAAAGGGCCAGGGGAGTAGCTCAAGTGGTACAGCACCTGCCCAACAAGCACAAGACCCTGAGTTAAAGCCCCAGTATGGGGTGGGGTGGGGTGTGTGTGCACCCTATACTTAAAAAGCCATATTCAAGGAGCCAGCTACATCAGCACCTGTACCTGATATATATAACATTCTTGATAAGCTAATGCTTGTAATCGCCTTGGAAGGAGTAAGTATTTTTGCATATATGAACAATGTAAATAATTTATAGTCAAAATATAGACCATGGCAATTAAAACTGTCCAAAAATTCTTCAATTCTTTCTCTCAAGTCTAAGTTCTACTTGGTGACTTCTTTCTGACCAATTAGGATATGAAGGAAAAAATAGGATGTGATGACAAAAGTATTAAACATTGAAAAGGTGTGGCTTCATCCTTGCTCTCTCTGTGTGGAGAGACTATAACTAAAGCCTACAGCCATGAGCTACACAGCGCCTTTCTTGAAAAGAAAAAACAAGGGCTGGTAATGTAGCTCAGTGGTAAAGGGCTTGCCTAGCATGCCAAAGGCTCTGGGCTTGATTCCCAGCACCACAAAAACAAACAAACAAAAAAACCAAAACCCACTTTGTTAAAAAACCCTAAGATAGAACCACTTAAATACTTCTGAACTGCTGACCCACAGAAATGGTGGTTTTAAGTGCTAGATTTTGGGATATTTTATTATTCAGCAATAAGTAATATACAATCAAACATGTACCCAAACCAAATATATACCTATGTCTCTTTCCTGGTAAAGAACCTTTAATACTAAAATCAGAAAATTTCAAACGAGGACCAAAAATTACACTCTGGAAACACAGAGTGATGTGAATGGGAGACTACATAAATGCTGACTTTAAAGAAAAAAAAAAACCTTTTACTTCAAGATCCCCTTGCCGGGAGAGCACATACGGGAGATATAGGAATAGGTAGAAAACCCAGAACATGAAAGCATTTGATGTCCCCACTCCAGAGGAACTAATACAGAAACCTTAAAGCAACAGAGGTTAACATGAGAAGGGAATCAGTAACCATTTTAAACATCAGTTAAGAGTTGAATCAACATGGGTCGTAACACATGGGTACACGAAAGCAATAGTAGGAATCTCTCTGTATAGCTATCCTTAACTCAACTAGCAAAAATGCTTTGTCTTCCTTATTATGCTTGTGTCTTTTCTTCAACAAAATCAGTGATAAGGACAGAACAGGACTTGCCTGGAACTGAGTGGGGGAGGAGTGCAGGAGAGGGGAAGGGTAGGGGAGGGGGGCAGGGTGGAGAAATGACCCGAACAATGTATGCACATGTGAATAAATGAACAAACAACAACAGCAAAATTTAAAATAAGATCATGCTATGTGGAAAAAAAAAAAGAATTATTTATTTATTTATTATTATTGGTGGTGGTACTGGGCTTTGAGCTCAGGGCCTTGTGCTTAAAAAAAAAAAAAAAAAGAAGATCCCCTTGCCTCAGCTAATCTCTGTAGCTGGGATTACAACTGTGTGCCACCACACCCAGAAATACTGGCATAACATATAACTACTATACCATTCGCACCCTTGTATATGCTAAATATAATACTTATTATTCTCAACAACCTCTTGGATTAGAGTGTAATATATGCATTCACATACGCTGCATCAGCATGACAGATTCGACCAATCTAAAACTAAAAATATTGAGGGAATAGAAATCATGTTGGCCCTGAGCGTATACAGACTTTTTAATGTGTCAGTATTTCCTAAACAATGCCACTACTGTTTCCACAGCAATGACATCATTTTAGGCATTGTAAGTAATCTAGAAGAAGGCCCTGAAACCAATCCTAAGGACACTAAAGTTTCAAGTTTCAAATTTAAATTGATTTCAATCTCACTCCAAGGCTATCTATTCCCTTTCTACCATACTATACCAAGGGTCAACAAAATTCTTCTGCAATGGGCAATCCCATTCAGTTTTGCAGCCATAGGTCTCAGCTGCAACTAAACAACTACAGTATGAAGACAGCATAGATATATGAAAATGAATGGGCTTGGTTACGTCCCAGTAAAATCTTTACCAAAATAAGAATGCAATTTGGACTTGATGCATGGACTCTATGGTCTCTTTCTTCTTTCTTTTTCATTATTGGTGGTCTTGGGGTCCAACCCAGGGCCTTGTGCTGGGGCAAGCACTCTAACACCAAGCTTCATCACCAGCCCTTGGCTTTTTCTGAACTCACTATGCAGCCCAGGCAGGCCTCAAACTCTACATCTTTCAGCCTCTACCTCCTGAATGCAGGACTACAGGCAAGCACCACCACACCTGGCTGTGGCCATAGTCTTTGTGACCTGTCACTACTTTAAAACAACTCATGTCAGTTCAACATAGTAGTTGCCATGAGAAAGTCACAAAATACTTCAACATACAATTAATTTATATTCTACATGCAAGATCATTTTTGTTCTGAGATTCTTTCTCTAATACTTGCCTAGGGAAGACTTCTCCCTATGAAAATGTTGCATCAGTGATGGGTCAAATACTAAGTTACCAGACAATTTTCCTAGTTTAATTCTAAACTGACTTTTAATGTTCAAGTAAATTCGTCTTTTAGTAAGCTAATTATAAATTAGTATTTCAAAAAGGGGTAACACTAATGTAGCGTTCCTATACTAATAACATAGTAGCAATTTCTAGTACTCCAAGAACTCCAAAGTAGTTAGCTGGATAAATCAGATATTAAGTATAAGACTTATGAAACACAAACTTTTGTGTGTGCGTGGTGCTGGGTTTGAACTCAGGACCTCAGGCTTGGTAGGGAGGCATTACACCACTTGGCCACTCCGCCGGCCCTGCTTTGTGAAGAGATTTTTCAAGATAGGTTCTCGTGAACTATTTGTCTGGAACTGACTATGAATTGTGGTCCTCCTGATCTCTGCCTCCTGAGTAGCTAGGGTTATAGGTGTGAGCCACACCTATAACCTGGCCAGAATCTTCTTAAATGCAAATGACTAGTTACAAATTAAATCCCTGGACCTTCTTCTTTGGAAATGCTCTGCTTAGTCAGTAGTACATCGAAGCCTCTCCAACACTCCCCCCACCCCCATAAGAGTCAAGCTTTGAAATCTTTTCACAATGTTACATGTTAGCTCACTTGCCTGGCCCTGGGTTCAATCCCAAGCACCACAGAAAGTAAACAAAAATAAAAACAAACACACAAAAAAACTGAATTTTATCCAGTGTATTTTGAAAGTACAAAAGTAAGCAATACTATTCTTTTCTTGATTAAAGAAATTCACAAAACAGCCATCATATTCTATCCTTGCATAACATCTTCCCATAAGATAGATGCTCAATGTTCAGGAAAAAATCTATTAATACTCAAAATCATAAGTACACATACACACACCACAGCAAGTAATAAGAAATCTCTGAATGCTGTACCTGTATCAGCTTCATGTTCTTTATTTTCATCTGTAAGGGGGTTGTCATGAAGCTTCAAATAGATCTCTATAGCAATTCTTGCTGCCTTGAAGTAAAATGGATGCTGTCGAAGTACATCTTCTAGTTTTAATAAGTCCACATATGATCTAAGGGTAATCTTCCTCATACAGTATGTATGAAAGTCAAACTGGTCATCAGTGATTTCTATAAAATGCTGACAAAATTACCTTTTTATTATTACAATGAAGTATAGCAATGTCTAAGAAAAATATAAAATCAAAGTTGTAGCATTATTTGTTTCTTTGGTATAAAAAATTAGTAAAACAAAAATACATAAAAATTGCAATTATTCAATGAATGCTTTGCATATCAAAGAAAATGTAACTGGCTATCAGAGAGAAAAGGATGTGACACAGAGCAGGCACTGAGTAATTTGTTGAATAAAAGGGAAGCACAATGCTTTAAATATGTGTGTGATGTGTTTACACATATATTATTTGTTCCTTAATCACAGTTAAATCATGTTGACAAAAGCATAACTGAGCGGTGTATACACTGGTATTGTGCAGCAGAGCCACTCATTAGACACTGAGATTTTACGGTTGAACTGTCTGGAAGGACTATAATATATAGTGTTAGGTAACTGTTTTGAGGACATAAGCATGAGCCCTCCGCAGTACAATGCTGGGACGTGGGAGTGAATCCCCGCGGATCATGAGTACACAAAGTAAGGAAAGCAATCAGCCAACTTCCTCACTTCAACCAACCATGGGTTATATAGTTGACAAAGTTGAAAATGTGAAAACTTAATTTATATAAACCGTTTATTGAGGACCTGAGTTCAAACCCCACAGTCAAACAAAACACAACACACAGCCCACTATTAGTGACAGAAATTAATCTAAAATTAAGAAGACTAATAAAACAATGATTTTATAAAACATGATGACTTGAACAGGATATAGAGACATTGTGAAAAGACTTCAAAGCTTGGATCTTATCAGGGGGGCTTTGATGTACTACTGAATAAGCAGAGCATTTCCAAAGAAAGGCTCAAAAGTCACTAAAAACAGAGCTGGAGGTGTAGCAGGGGTACAGGGCCTGCCTTCCAAGCACATAGAACTGAGTTCAAACTTTAAAAAAAAATTACTTAAAATAACCACAACACAAATTTTTCATAAAGTTTACAAAATTCTTATAGAAAGAACAGATAATAGAGAAGTTGACTAGAAATATACTTCCATTGTAAAAAACTGAAAAAAATGAATACTGATTTTAAAAATCATGTACTGTGAAAAATAAAGAGAAAAAAATCTATCGGATTTACCCCTACCCTTATTGTCTAGCAGAATAAAATGAGAAACCCATATGTATATGGTACTTACTCTCTCAATTTCATGACATTTCTTAAGTGCTTCACCAAATTTATTCATTGCTTTATACGCCTGGGCACATTCTGTCTGGAACCACATGCACTGCATTTCATTCAAATTTTCTACTGCTGATGTCCCTTCCTACATAAAAATCAAATATATTCAAGACCATTTCTCATCAAATATACCATTTCACCATAGGATTTAAGAAGGAAAACATGGTCAACTTATCTGAATTCTAAATAATTTTTTAATTCATTCTTTGGCTAAGACAGAATAGTTAACCTATAAAAAAATTGAAATTCTCTAATCATTAAAAATAGTAAGTAGTTTTATGGATGATGAAACAAAAGAAATACATTAACTGGGCAGTCAGGATTAATGTAAGAAAAGAACACTGGCACACAGCAGATATTCCATAAATATTAATCCCTCTAGTTCCTAAAAAATTCTTCTAAGGATCAAGCATGGTGGCTAACACCAGCTATGTGGGAGGCCATAGGCAGAAGGATGGCAAACTTTAGGCCAACCTCAGGCTAAAACACAAAACCCTCTGGGAAAAATAACATAAAAAAGGGCTGGGGTTTGGTAGAGCATCCGCCTAGCCAACTGCAAGGCCCTGAATTCAAACCCCAACACCACCAAAAAAAATCCTGAACATACATCAATATAAACTAGTTTTAAAATCCACTGAAAGATTTCTACAGAAAGAGAATGTTTTATACTAATATTGATTAAACTTTTTCTAATGTAGTGATTTAATTGAAATTGGGGATGATTTTGACATTATAATTAAAAACAAACTTTGAAAAAGCAAAGTACAAGCACAATTTGGCTCATGTCCTATCTACTCATAAGTAAGAACACTAGCTGTACAAACCCTTGTAAACTTTGAGCACATTTCTTCGGCCTCTTTAATCAGATTGGCTTTTAGCATATATTTTGCACACTTGGAGTTAATAAATCTGTCTGCTGTGTCCAGGGCCTGGGCTTCGTCCATCCACCTTGCAGCTTCTTTGATATTCCCAGCATGCTTATAAATACAAAACAAAAATAAAACAGTAAGTATACTGATTTTACTGTGCAGGTAATTTGTTACCTGCTGATAAGTAATTACGAGAAACAAATGAAGGAAAGTGTGTTCTTTCTGTAAAACACACAAAACGTTTGTGACTAATACCATTACCTTATAGATTTTAGCTTTAACAAGAAAGAGCTCTATTAGCGTAGGTGTGCTTTCAATAGCAGTGTTTATATATCCCAGAGCAATAGATGGCTGGCCAATCCTGTCATAGTGCTGTGCCAAGTAGTACTGGACCCAAAGTAACGTGGTTGGGGGCTCCTCCTTTCCATCATCTTTAAAATGCAGGGGACAGAGGGGAAGGGAAGAAATCAAGATTAGGTATATATTACAGAGAGCATGCTTCTCAATATAGTCCCTGGATTTACAAGAAAAGTAGTTTGAAAGTAATTTATACATTGGACTATAAACTCATCTAATCACATAAAATCTTTGGAAGGAACCATGTTTTCTGTATTGTATTCTTAGAGCCCCTTACTATAATGTCTTGCTTATAATAAGGACTTTTCATAGAAATATGGCTGAAAACTAAGATCAACCATATAACTAATTATCTAAAAAGAAAACTAAAATGGGTGATGGTGGAGCAAGACGTGTTGTGCCAGCACTATGAGTATGAGTGAATAGATCAGGATGTTTTTGTGGGAGAAGGGTGTCAAAAGAAATTTCGCATTTATGCTTTTGTTATTGTTGTTATTTTCTAAAAAGACTGCAAGGTGCTGGTGGCTCACGCCTACAATCCTAACTACTCAGGAGTCAGAGATCATGAGAATCAAGGTTTAAAGCCAGCCATGGAGAAACAGTTCAAGAGACCCTGTCTTGAAAATGTGCTGGTGGAGTGGCTCAAGGTGTAGGCCCTGAGTTCAACCCCAGTACTGCAAACAAAAAAACCCCCCAAAACCAAAAACACAAAAAAGGGCTGGTGGAATGGCTCAAGTGTTAAGAACGCCTGCTTAGCAAGCAAGAGGCCCTGAGTTCAAACCTCAGTGTAACAAAAAAAAAAAAACCCCAAGAACCAAAAAAAAACCTTGCACATTAAAAATTCTTCTTCAACATAAACTCCTAAAATCTGAGAATTGTTACTTGCTTTCAAAGACAGTAATATATTGCCTATTTTTTTCTAGTAAAAGCAGGATGGCTCAGTGGACAAACAATAGGAGTGGAACTCACCAACTCCCGGTTTGATAGGTCTGCAACAAAAGTGCTGCATATTCTTGGACATGTCATTGAATCTCTTCCACATTTGTAAAATATGTAGGAAAATGCTGATAATCAAAGGAACACCATGGTGAATAACCAATGAAACTATGGTGACACCATTTAGAAAGTACTTAAAATTAATCTGAGACCTAGAAACAATGACTGACTTAATACCAATATATATACCTAGGTCCCACACTGTACTGAACTTATCCAATACAGGTGGGAAAGAGACAAGTGATTCTAGATTTCCAGTGACAGTGTACAAAATAAACTAGAATAGCTTGTTATATTAAACAGCAAAAAAACTATCAACTACTATCATGGCACGTGAAAGATGAAACCAATTGAGATTTAACATATCAATTATGTTTAAATCTATTGGTTTGTAACATTTTAGAAAATTTGATTTGCTATCTTTGAAGGATGCTAAAACCAGTTCATTGTTTTGAAAGCAAGTAAAGAACTAAAAAAAGTAGAGGGTGGAGAAAAAACTGTATTTAACATGCTTTTCCTATATAAACTTAAATCCTAGATAAGCACATTAACAGGGAAAATGAAATTTCCTTTAAGATAATAACACTATATGCCCATGGAAAGTAAGCTGCTCACCCCTCCTATGTTTAAAAGAAACAAAAGCAGAACAAATGAAAAACATCTCATCAAACCTTTTTTTTTTTCTTTTAATTTTTTTTTTTCAAAACCAGAACATGTATTATGGGACTAATCACTGAAATGAACTGGACACTACAACAACTGCCCTCTTGTGTTTGTTGTTCCTTCATGGAATCCATGACTGAATCTGCCATGGACAATTTTTCGGTGCCTTATTTGACCACCCTTGTAATACTCGTCTCTTAGCCTGGGAACTCCAGGTATACTTTCTCTTGAGCTTGGCAGGGCAGCTACATTTGCCAAGAGGTCAACTTCTAAAGGTGGTAGGCCTTAGAGTCAAAGCGGTGGCACAATGTGTGCGCCTTACTATGCTGTCTAAAAGATGATGCTCCTTTATCATCTTGCTTCTGCTGCCTAGACCAAAAAGCTCATCAAACCTCTAAGTTTGTAAAAACAATTCTGCAGTAACAGAAACATTCTGTATGTGCCCTACCCAATTTGGTAGCCGTGAAATATACATAGCTATTGAGTAATACTTGAATTGAATTTTTTGTATTTAACCAGAGATTTAATTAACAACTACGGCTAATGCCCAGCAAAGAAGTCAACAGTTCTTCTTCATAGTACTGGGGTTTGGGGTATGAACTCAACAGTCCCACGTTTGCTAGGCAGGTCACTCCACTACCCAAGTCATTCCGTCAGTCCAAGATGACACAGTTCTATAGCCAACTACCAACTTACAGAAAATTCAGAGGACAGAAGGATAATGTGCTCACTTATGAGGGTACATTCAGCAAAATATGAACTAAGAAAACTAAATATATAAAATTAAAACCATTTAAGAGACTTATCAAACTCCAAGTATAATCATGCACTATGATTCTGTTTTAAGCCTCCATTTTTCAGACATACTGAAATATTCATTTATGAAACAATGAGCAGCTTGGGATCTGCATCAGGATACAGGAATACATGGAAGTGGGTGAGGCTACAGATGAGATGTTTGGACATGAATTTAAAATTGTGAAGCTACCTGATGGGTAAACAGAGGGTCACTGTATTATTACATTAGTTTTAAAGATGATCCAAAATTCATATACTTTTTTCAATAAAATAATTTAACTTTCTTCTAACCAAGTATCACCATACAATGTGTAAATTACTGGATCTTCATCTTAAAGGCGAAAAAAAATTAAATGTAGTGTGCTGATCGCCTGAATAATTAACACTGACCTGATTAAGAATTTCATAAACAAACAAAAAAATCATACTGCATTAAAATTAATGCAGCACTAATTAATTTAATGGTGAGCACTTACCATTGGGGTTAAATAGACGGCAGCTTTTTAGAGAGGTTTCATAACCTACTACTAATTCTTCTATGATTGCCACCTACAGCACAAACACACAAGCACACTTTAATAGAAAAAAAACACGGCTTCTACTCTTGTGCAAAATGTGTTATTTATGATTAAAAGACTAAATAAACACTCTTAACACACACATTCTTCCCCCCTTAACATCTGGATAAAAATTTGAAAATAAGTATTTGTGAAGGTATGCATTAAAACACAACTTTCTAAAAACTTACAGGTAAATTCCTTTTCCCTCAGTCAGAAAATAAAAGCTTTAGCTGAACCAGAAGTCAGGAGTTGGGACAAAGGCAATATTACAGATGATTAATAGTTTGAATCACTTTTATCTCAAACTACATAAATAACACCTACAATTAACATCTGCTCTTCAAGAACTAAGAATTAAATGCTATATAAAAAGAGTATCTTCCAGGACTGGAGGTGTGGCTCAAGTGAGCGCAAAGCCCTGAGTTCAAACCCCAGTTTCACAAATAAATAAATAAATAAATAAATAAATAAATTCCCAACTCTCAATTTCATAATCCAGGAGAAAACATTAATAAAACTGAAACAAAGAACAGTGGGATGTCTGAGGTGCAGGAGAATATGTGGCTATCTAAATGGGATTCTCCTGCTGGCACCCGTGGCTAGCGTCTATCATCCTAGCTAGTCAGGAGGCAGAGATCAGGACGATCGCAGATTGAAGCCAGCCCTGACAAATAGTTCACACAAGACCTTATCTTGAAAAATTTCACCACAAAAAAGAGCTGGTGGAATGATTCAAGGTGTAGGTCCTGACTGAGTTCAGTGATTCTCCTGAGTCTTAACTATACGTGAGATCAACATTCTTTTTAAAGTGTCAACACTGCTTTTTTTATTATTATTATTATTATTATCATTATTTTTGGTGGCACTGGGGGTTTGAACTCAGGACTTCATGCTTGCAAAGCAGGCACTCTACCATTTAAGCCATACCTCCAACCCTCAACAACATTTTAAATTTATTAATTCCCCTTCTTCATGAGAAGGGCAGGACAACTGCTTGAGCCCATGAGTTTGAGGTCAGCCTGGGCGACGCCATGAAACCCTCATCTCAAAAAACAAGCAAAACAAAATAATGCCCTTCTTTTCTTAATTCATCTTTAATCGATACCTATTAATATAGAAGCTCTTGTAGATGACCTCCCTTAACTAACTCAACAGATAAAACATGAGCTCTCTTTTATTGTGAAGAAAAGTGTAAGGTTATTCTGGCACACCCATGCTCTTTTCCCAAAAGTTGAGCTACATGTTTACTAGGACTTAATTTTGTTTTCTCAAACCTGTTTCAGTCAATTGATTTATTATCAACAGGAAGAGCTATCATAACTTAATTCAATATTATGTAAACTTAAGAATAAAAAGCACTTTCCATAAGTTGAACACCATGCAATGACTCAAAAGATAAACTAGTATATTAACCAAATTTAAGTATAAACTAGAAAACTATAAAGAAAATCATAAAACTATAGGAATCTACACTTAAGACAGCCTCACAAATATCCAATTCTTACTGTCTCAAAACTGAAAACAGGTGATATCTTATGCATGTCAAATATGCAACAAAAAAAGAAATCAGTAAGGCCCATTCTGTGGGTTGCTCAACAAAAGACAGGCAGGTAAACATACATTTATGTATTAAGCATGTTTAATTTGTTCCATCTTTCTTATTCTTTTCAGTGTATCTGATTTGTTTTTAATCTAACCAACATCTTGATGGCATTCTACTTGCAGGGAAAATAACCTAAATAATCTAATTAAAACATCCTTTAAATAAGCATTTTGAATATAACACATAGCTAAAAGAGTAAAATGACTTACTGGGACAGCAAACCAACTCTTCTGACAGAATTTTTTTTCTAACGAATAAAAATGGAAAAAGATTACTAAGCTAAAACTTAAGTTTAAAAAAAAAAATCACTTCTCACTCTGACAATGAACAGATTAGAGAATATGGAGAAATCACTACTAACTTTTATAACCTACACTGCCTTGGTAAGGTATACAATTGAAATAAAGGAATGAAAACAAACACTAGATTACTGAAGAGCTAAAGAGAAAAGAAAATGAAAAGAAAGAGACACAGAAGCATTCTAAACTGCAAGCTAAGAAAACTACCTGTATCACAAAACATGTACTATTAGACAGAGCTAATCAAGAACCAATCACTCTGAATACTGAGCAAAGAAATGACAGCGAAAGGAGAACATCAGGTCTGCTTTACCTTTTCTTTATCTTTGTATAATGACCTCAAAGTATTGAAGACTGGCGGGCAACCTTTGCTGAAATTCATCCTTAGAAATTTATCCAAACATTCCTTAAACTTCTCACCTTGGAAGAGAAAAATTCTGTTGGTTTACATTTACCCAGAGAACTCTTAACAATGCAAACCTCAGTAGACATACTCACCCTTAAAGATAAAAAAATAAACTATATCCACAACAGCATTTTCATTCCTTTGCAATTATTTTCACTTACCAGATAAAAAGTTTAACGGCAGCCTTCTTGGCACCAGTCCCCTGGGATATTTAGTCCAGGCCTCCTCATATATTTTTAGCCTTTCTAACATATTAGCTGCAAAGAAAAATAAACTTACTTATTTGCTGATTCATTCATTCATTCATTCATGGCTGGCAGTTTAAATTCAGGACTCTACTGCTTGTAAGGCAAGCCCTCCAGTCCTTGAACCATGCCTACAGCCCAAGAAAAATTGTTTTTATATCTAATTGCAAGTTGTGTATTTTTCTGGCAAATCACAAATTTCTCAACAATTCTTACTACCTAAATATATCAATAATCATTTTAGAATGCTTCCAATATTCTCACATTCTAAACACACATAATTATGAAATAATTTTCTTTATCCCATTGTGAGTTAGGTAGGCTTTTAAACTCTGAAGAACATAAGTTCTGAAAAACTCAGTTTACTACGTTCCCATTATAGCCTTTAACTCTTTAGCTCATTCCATGTCTTCTTTCCTCTGTCTGAAACCTCTGGATCTATCTTCCATTTCTCTGTATTTTATGGTTTTTCTTTCATTTGGTGCAAATGTTTAAAAGCTTTCTTCAGTTTAATCTTCCATTTCATTATTTTTCCTTTCCCTCTTCATTCAGTCTGTGAAGATTTTTATTTCAATATGCAGAGTTCATTTCCCAGATTCCCAATTAGCACTTTCTCATAACTATTCATGTTTCATGGCTACAATTTCCTCTTCATCTCTACTATCCCTTTTGCTGGCACTAACAGTCATCATTCCATACTAGTGTTCTTATGACAGTTTAGAAGTCTGTTTCAAAATAATCTCCAACAAGGTTTCTCTTGCATGTATAAATGGTATCAGGAATGGCTCACTACCAGGCTTGAAGGAAACAGCTTCAAATCATATAATTTGTCTATTTTTTTCTGGGCCTGTTCCCACATGTGGACTCCACTTATGGGAAAGGACAATGGGTGGGGGTACACAAAGAAGTCTCTGGATCCAAGTTTGCTTGAGTGATGGAATTTTAACCCCTCTTCCAACAGAGGGACAGTGGTTGCTCATTCAGCCTGTCTATACTCATGTGACCCTGGGAGCCACAGTGCTGCAACCATAGCTGACCACATTCCATTTCTTTCAGTAGAAATTTCCCCTTCATGTTTTTGATGCTACTATGCATGTGATTTTTTTCTAAAGTAATTTCTTAAATTCTGTCTCATTTCTAGAAACTTTTTAGAAGAGATTCAGAGTGTAAGCAATCTGCCAAATGGAAGTATGCAATGTACAACACACAAAAAATCTGATTTTGAACCAATTCTTAACCACTGTTTATCTAAGCATGCTTTGGAGTTAATAAAATAAATATAGCAGCTGGGTGCTGGTGGCTCACACCTGTAATCCTAGCTACTCAGGAAGCAGAGATCAGGAGGACCGTGGTTTGAAGCCAGCCTGGGCAAATAGTTTGTAAGATCCTATCTCAAAAGTACCCAACATAAAAAAGGGCTGGAGGAGTTGAAGGCCCTGAGTTCAAACCTAGTACACACATAAATAAATTAAAAAAAAAATAAAAAACATAAATATAGCAAAAGTAATGAAAATTTAATTTTAAACAACACTACCTGGCTTCAGTGCTTTTTCTAAGCCTTTGTAATAGGCCCAGTTTTCAGGATTTCTCTCTTGCAGTCCTCTATAAACATCAGCAGCATCTTCCAAACGACACAATTGCAACATAAGTTCCCCTGGTCAAAATATATATATATATATACATACATTAGCTAAAATATCTGAGGAAAAAAATCTTCTAATTGTAATTTTAATTTTTCCTCAAAATTTTTCTTAAAACCTCATTATGAATCAATGTTGGGAAGTGGATGGAGCTGGTATCCTCCTGAGTTCCCAACTCCCTTAAAGAAGACTTTACTGGATTATTTTATTTTGTCCTTTTTGGAAATTCACATTACTTAGAAATGCCATCCTCTTCACAGCCTCAATTTATTCAGATAATCTGTCCAACTCCAGACCACATTCCCACATTCATTGGAAAGAAACAAATCAGATGAATGGAGAGACATAGGAGCTTCAACAGAAATATATGAGCTTCAAGATCACATAAGCTTCTAACCTACTCAGGATTTCCACTCCATTCATCAAAGGTATTATTTTCAATCCACTATGTCACCTTTCTCTCCTTCAAACTTGGACTGGGTAATTAAAAATGAACACTTACTGAGAACTTATTATGTGCCAGTGACTTTTGAATGTTCAGAGATGATCGCTAATTCGATCCTCTGAATTTTAAGAAATAGGTTACTATATTTTCTTAGTTTTAAAGCAGAGAGAACTTAAGTAAACTTAACAAGGGACTTTCACAATGCTGGAGTTAGAATGTGATCCCACGCAATTTAACTAAAAGAACCCATATTCTTAGTATTTGTACCAATGGTTCTCACCCGGGTACACTTGGCAGTATATAGACATTTTGGTTGTCACATTAGGGGTGGTGGGTGTTACTGGCATCTAATGGGAAGCAGATAGGGATGCTAAACATCTTAATGAATACAAGGTCTCTACCCCTAATAATACAAATCCCAAGTGTTAACACTACAAGCTGGAAAGGCCTGTTCTATAGTAACCAAACGTCAAATTCACTGAAACATAAAAAATAACATACTATGCTGTTTCTAACACATTTAATCCTATTTTACATAATTAAGTAATTGTTTGCTATGTTTTGGTCAAATTCTGTAATATTTTCAAAACAAAGATACTTTGAAAGACAGGAGTTTGAGATCAGCCAAGAAAATATAGCAAAATTCCTCTCAAAACAACATGAACAAAAAAACCAAGACTAAAAAACCAGATGCTTTATGGAGTCTTTTCATTCAATGAGGCCTTGTTGGCCACTCTTATCTCCTAGACCCGTGGCTGACATGAGTAACGTAATGTTTTCCACTGCCAAAAGGGTGGATGGCAGGTGGTCATCAGCAGCAACTGCATGATTTCTCAGCCTAGCTCTTTCCTATAATTAAGTTAGAATAAATGACATTCTCAAAAAAAAAAAAAAATACCTTTGGTTTCTTCTACAGCAAGTTTATCGCAAATCTGCTTTTCATAGGTACAAAGGTGTTCCAAGGCTTCTCTATATAGACCTGCTTCCCGAAGAACTTGATTTTGATATAAAAGGAGTTCACTATATTCATAATCCACTTTGTCAGGGGATGTCTGTATATGGATATAAGGAACACTGGCAATAAGAATTGTTTTCCTATGAGAAAATTATTTATACGCTCAAAAATATATAAAAACTCTAAGGATAACAACTGGTTGATAAAAACTGACTTTAAAAAAGATTCCTTAATACCTGTCTATGGAGCAATTAAGTACATAAATATTAGTTTATAATGAGCTGAATAAGAAATAACCCATAAGACCTTACACAAAATAAATGGGGAAAGCTCTTAACAGTAGAATGCCAAATAAAAAAATCTAAAAGAAATGACAGAGTCAGAGAATCCCCATTTTTCAACTGCCCTAGTAACAACTGATTTAGGAAGAATCATAACCAATGAATATTAAAATCAGTGGTGAATGTCTGCTGAGGAGCAATTTATTCATCTCAGATAATTTAGTACAAAGAAAAAAATCCAACAAGTTTCCAGGTGGAGATTCAACCTTAACATAGTGATCAAATGAAACAGATGCCACATGCCTCTGGATGTGATGAACCAAGAAGGACTCATTACCACCTCTGTAGTATCCTGCCAAAAATGCTTACCATATCTAACAATGAGGAAACGGAGGGACACTCTACAAAACCATTATCAATGTCATAAATTACAAACACCTTTAAAACAACTTCAGAACAAACTGAAGAGAAAGCATAACTATATTCAACCAAATACTGGAATGGGGAAAAAATTGCTACAAAGGAATTAACTCACACAACTAGTAAATTTTCAATATGGACTATGGATTAGATAATAAAGACTAATTTTGATAATGTGTACACTCAAGACATACAATGCCAACAACTACAGAGCTCTTATTTATTTTTTTGATAGTACTGGGGTTTGAACTCAGGGTCTCACACTTGCTAGGCAGGTGCTGTACCACTTGAGTCACCTCTGCCAGCCCCAGAGTTATTCTTAGGAAACACTTTCTGAAGCATTTACGGGTAAAAGAGCACAATGACTGCAATTACAAACATTCAAGGAAGAATTTCATTTTATTTTAGGTTGATGGGGATCAAACCCAGGACCTTATGCACAATAGGCAAGTGCTCTGCCACTGAGCTAAATTCTTATCTCGGAAGATGATTTAAATGAAGATATAGGTAGAGATGTCTTAAAATAAATGCATCAAATGTGAATTCTTATGTGGAGTTCTACTGTTTCAACTTTTCTGCAAGTCTTAAGTTATTTCCAAATAAAGTTAGCCAGACAATGAACACTTGTTTTAGTCTGACCTAGTAAAATGTCTTATTACCTGCTGTGTTTTTCTAAATTCTTCTAAGATCTTTGCTGCCATTTCATAATCTTCTAGTAAATGGTAAGCAATAGCATAACCAATCCATGATGCTCTTTGTGCAGGTCGAAGCTGAAGTAACTGATATCTCGTTTCCTTTAAGAGGAGAAAAAACATTTTTTCTTAGATTTCAGTTAAAGCAAGTCCAGCAAAATGCTAGCTAAGCAATGGTAGAAAAGTTTTAGGTATCCGTACTGTGGCTTTCTAGAGGGAAAGAAATTACTTGTGAAGAAGCACAGTGACACCACCTAACAAATCTTAGTTTCTCGTATAAAAAACTCAATCCCATAATCCTTGTTTACTTCCAGATCTTTCCATTCCAAGAACCGAAACAGACAATAAAGAGGAGAAAGGTATTTAAATATTCTTTAAAAAAAATAAGAAACAGAGAAGACTGGAAATGTGGCTCAAGTGACAAAGCATGTCCCTAGCAAGTATGAGACCCTCAGTTCAAGCCCCAGTTCTGCCAGAAAAAAACAAACAAACAAAAAAAATACAGAAGGAAAACAGCTTGACAGGTACTACCACAGCGGGGTGGGGATAATATTAAAGGAGGACTAAAAAACCCAAAACTAAGCTAAGTCTTAAAGACATTGGTCTATGTGAATATTAATGGTAATCTTTATTTTTGTTTTTTCATTATTGTTCTGAAGTTAATGGTAACTTTTTTTTTTTTTTTTTTTTGGTGGTACTGGGGCTTGAACTCAGATCCTATACTTCTCAAGCCACTCCAGCAGCCCTTCATTTGTGATGGGTTTTTTTGAGATATGGTCTCTCGAACTATTTGGGCTGGCTTATCAGGAGGAACCGAGATCCTCCTGATCTCTGCCTCCTGAGTCGCTAGGATTATAGACGTGAGCCACTTGCACCTGGCATTAATGGTAATTTTTAATAAATTGATTAAATACACAATCATTCAAATCTGCCTCACAAGAAAATATTTTTAAGATATGATTATTCCAATCATAAACATATACACTAAGAAGGCGGGGATTCAATTAAACACTTTTGACAATCAAAATGGGAATTTTCTTTATCAGGAAGTACATTAAGGTCTAAAGAACAATATTTTCCTCTTGGAATAAAAAATCCTCTATTTTACTCACCCTGTAACCCTCAAGATCTCGCATTTGAATCTGTAGCAAGGAAAGGTCCCTTAAGATTTGAAGATTGTCTTTATCCCATTTTAGTGCATTTCTGTAACACTTAATGGCTTCGTCGTACTTCTTGTCTGACCTCTGAAGAAGGCCATACACATGCCAACCTAAAGAACTGGTTAAGGAGACAACCTACAAGTCAAGAAATATTATTCCAAATGATCTCCCAGGAGGCCCAGAGAACTACGGCCATTTCTAACATTAGAAGCTCAAAAGGGGTGAGGATACAAAGATAAAAAGGGTGTGATACAACAGAAAAGAGCACAGCTTTCAGAGACAGAAAATTTAGCTTAGTCTGCCTTATTAACTCTATACCTTGTATTAAGTTAGTGCATTGTTTCCTCATTTATAAAATGTAAGTAAGTCCATACAATAAAGCACAGCGGTGATGACTTAATGGGATAAGATACATAAAAGTGTTCATTAGTTAATTCAAAGTAAATACTCATTAAGTTTAATAAATTATCTTTATTACTAAAAGGAGAAGAAACAGGTGTCCACAATGTAATGCAATATCCTATAGATTTTTCCTTTGGCTAACAAGCTCCTTAGGACACTGCACAGCACCATACAAAGTTCCCGAAACACCATCACATTTAAAATCAAAACATTCATTCACTTAACATAAAAGTATTTGAAACTCATATTAATTATGGTACAGGTGACCTAGTAAAAGACACAGATAAGTAAGAAAAATGAAAATAGGTTGTAAAAATAAAACTATAAATGGGAGAAAATACCCAACTCACCCAAAACAAGTCTTTTTACTTTATCTTCAGCCTCCTTTTATTCCATCCTACTTATCTTTCCAAAATACATAAAATCAAAAGGAAACAGAAAAAATTGACTTCCCTTTCCAGAAATGCATATTTCTCTCTCAGATTAGGCTCAAATATTTCAAAATAACAACTTTAGGGACAAGGATCCTTCATAGTCTATAAAATGTCTAAGATGTAATAAATAAAAATACATATTTAATATTATAAATACTAAATGAAAATAATTCAATAATGAGAAGTAAATCTGGCTGGAACATGGATTTAAAAACCTAAGAAGCACTGTCACTTCTCTGACTCCCATTTCTATTTTCTCTTCTCCTCTCTTCACCCCGCCCAGCATTCTATCATCAAAGCCCTCCTATATTTTCAGGGCTTCATCTCGCTCTCAAGCAGATTTACAACATTTTAACTGCTTCTAATCTTTACCTCCTAAAAACCTATCTTTGAGCAGTTTAACTTTAGTAAGAACCCAATTAAGTAAATACATAGAGTAGAATACTGATATAATCATTAAAAATGGAAGCCAGGGGCTGGAGGTGCAGCTCAAGTGGTAGGGCACCTGCTTAGCAAGTGCAAGGTTTTTCATTTAAATGCCAGTACCATCAAGAAAAAAAAAAAAAAAAAAAAAAAAAAAAAACCCACAAAAAACCAAAAAAAGCAAAAGCAAAACAAACAAACAAGAAAGTCTATGAGAATCTTAGTAATTAAGCCTTTGCTGACTTTCCTAGTCCTCTGATCACTCTCAATAGACCTACTTCTGCTTTACTGGATTAATGATAATTCTTTGAATAAGCTGTAACACCTTACTTAATACTCAAAAGTGTTCTGTGTATGCTTCTAGTATTTTTCTTCACCAGAATACAAGAAAAATTATAAGCAGTATTTGTTTCATCTGTACTACTTCAGGGACCTGGTAAACACTTGATATTGTCCTGGATGTTTCAGTTCTTACAATTATGCTATGCTATAAAACAGGCACAGAAATATTTGCTAAAGACTAAAAAAAACAGCAACCTGGGCTGGAGGCATAGTTCAAGCAGTAGAGGGTACTTGCCTGGCAAGTGTACAGTCCTGTACACACAAATCCAGTACCATTAAAAAAAAAAAAAAACCATGCTAATCTTTCTTCTGACTTCCTTTAACAAAATAAATTAAAACATATCATATACTTCATCACTAAGTCTTTGTACGATATCACAAGGAGGTGGGTATGGTTATCCCCATTATATACATGAAGAAACTGAGCCCCAAGGTCATCCAGTTCAAAAGGAGCAGAGCTGGATTTTAAATTGAAGTATACTACATTTTAAGCCTACTCTCCAAAGCCTGCGCTCTTAACCAGTACATTACAGTGCCTCTCTACTACTCCTTAGTATATTTCCTCTCTCAAAGTTATGATCATGATGAAATATGATGGATATCTGACAAAATACCTTAAACTGGATAATTTATAGACAAAGGAAATTTGCTGCTCATAGTTCTCGAGGCAAAAAACCAAGATCAATATCTGGTGAGGCTTGCTCTTCGCTTCATAGATGACACAATTCTACCTGTGTCCTTGAATGACCAAAGAGGCAAACCAGCTCCCTCGGCCACTTTTAATAAGGGCACACGTGCCATTTATGAAGGATCTGCCCCACACCCTAATCATCTCCCAGAGCCCCGACCTCTAATGGCACGGCGGTGATTAGGCTTCAACGTGTGAATGTGGGGGACACAAACATTGGGGCCACAGCAGTGCCCTCACTCCTCAGTAGTGGGAGGAGCTCTCACTACTTTATGTTTTTTAGAAAACATAAAGGGAAACATGCTAACACACCATGAAAGCAGCTGCTGCTACTGAACTGAAGAGCAAACAATTTCTTCTGCAGTCACACAACGAGAGGATTTCAAACTTCTGACTTTCAAATGATGGTCCTAGCTAAAAACACCCCTCAATATTAATGTACACTGGAAAGGATACACACGTGACTCTTCAAGTCATTTCTCAAGCCTCTACGAACCAATTCATAAGCTTCTTCTTTCTTCCCCAGACAATTCAGTGTTAACCCTTTCATAGCCAGGGTTTCTTTTTAATGACAAGGAGGAAAAGGGAAGGTAAAAGAAATTAAACATTAAAAATATAAAAAATAATTAACAAGGTAACTATAATTTTAAAGCCAAATATTACACTGTGCTTAGAATTAAAAATTTCAAGATTACTGTGACATTTTCCAGGTTTGCACAGAATTAAAATATTTTTAAAAATGATTAAGCCAAGGAAGCATATTTTAGACTGTAGTCTCAGAGATTCTCCTAGATTTTTTAGATAAAAACACAAAATACACGCATATTGGCTAGAAAGGCAGTAATTCATACACTGACGACATACAATCATTTAGTCCTATTCTTAGGGGAATTCCATGGAGTGACCTTATGCAACTATTACTTTAAAATATTAAAATGGGGCCAGGATCTGGTAGTTCACAGCTGTAATCCTAGCTACTTGGGAGGCTGAGATGAGGAGGATGGGGGTTCAAGGACAGCCTGGACAAATGGCTCATAAGACCCCCATCTTCAGCAAAGCCATGTGTTCAAACCCCAGACCCAGGAAGGGGAAAGAAAAAAGAACAAAGGGCTGCAATGGTGGCACACATCTGTAATTCCAGCTATGCATGATCTTGGCATGAGCAAAAAATACAAATCCTAGATGAAAAAAACTAAAATGAAAAGGGGTAGGGGCATGGTTCAAGTGGTAAAATGCTGACAAAAAAAAAAAATCTTGAAAACAGACTCTTTAAAAAAAAATTTCTTATTTATTGACAGGCATTTTTTTTTTTGTGGTACTAGGATTTGAACTCAGAGGTTCACACTTGCTAGGCACACACTCTACCACTTGAGCCACCCCACCAGCCCTAAGCTCATGCTTTAATACTTAAGACATACAGATCAACTACCTACAATTCTGACCTTCACAAGCTTATTTTAAAAGGATTCTTTTGAATTATTATTAAATATAAAGTAGAATATGTCAGAAACTTGATATGGGCAATCAGCATTACAAGAGAATTATAAGAAATATTAAGTTTTCAGAAAAGAAAAAAAAAAGACTTCAAATTTTATAATGCATAAAGAAATAAAAACATTTATTATGACTTATTTGCCTAAATTTAGAATTTGAAGAAAAAATAATTGGGAATACAAGATAAAGACTAAAGGTATAATCATGAGAAAGAGTCAACATGTACTTTTAAAAAATATTTTGAATGGAATAACACTTCTCAACCAACCTAATTTCAGATACATTAAAATATTGGGGGGGATGGAGTTACATTTTAGAAATAATGAGCTGTATTTCTTAAGTCTATTCAACTCTGACCTACAAAATTGTATTTTTCTCTGCTTCCTCACAAGGTTAGCCACACACTCACCACTTTCACTATTAACATCCAAGCCATCTACCTTCATGCAGGTACAAGCTTGTAAGCTCTCCATTACAATACAAATAAAATATAATAAACATGACTCAGTTTTGAAACCCTAATTAAGATAAAGTGTAAATAAAGTGATGGGTCATAAGCATAGACAAATGGTCACGTTCTGAATAAACTTACTATAAGGAATAAAATTCCTCCAGTTCAAAGTTCTAAAATAAAATTTTCTTGTACAGAATTTTACTTAAGAAAGCATACTGTCCTATTGTGTTTTGCTTTTCCTACAGAGCTAATATTCAACATAGGAATAAATAAAAGCTCAAGTGGGACTTATCATTTTCTGGACATTAAATTCAAAATTCACCATTAAATTTTACCCTCTCAAAGAAGTTAAAGTCGTACATTCTCTCTGGAAAATAAGAGCCCCAAACGGGAGGCCAAACAGATAATAAAACCTACTTACACTTAATACATGGTATCTGTTCTTACCTCCATGCTCTGCAAATTTGGGATTAGAGAGGATTTGTTTACAGAACTTCAATCCATTTCTATACTGCTTATGTTCATAACATCTCTGTCAAAACGAAAAAAAAAATGTGAAGTTAATAAGCAAAGCAAAAACTTTAAATCCTAAAGTTAAAATTTTTACTCTACAAAAGAATGTTATTTCCCTATTTTTCTACAACCCACTAAAAGGCTGCTAAAAAAAATTACTGAAGTTTCAAATATGAAAGTAAAAGGAACCTGTTTTGCCTGATAATATGGAAAATATTATTTTATAAGCACACGACAAAAACATTCACATTTGGGGAAAATAAGCATAGGTGTATAGAAAACCACCAGTTAAGTGGCTAACTGAAAAAACAAAGGTGTATATATGAAAGGGCAGCAGGATTTAGAAGGATATTTAGCTTAACAGTGAACAATATATATGCACAGGAATAAAAAGTAAGCAATCAGTACTGGCTAATCAAAAAACTGTGATATAACTATGTAGGAGGAATGAGAAAAAAAGAGCGGGCAAATGTGTAAATGAGGAAGTTCTATTTCACTTTTAATAACCCAAAGCTGATGTCTTCAGAGTCATATATTAAGAAAGGATATGCCAGGCACCAGTGACTCAATGTCTGTAATCCTAGCTACTCAGGAGGCAGAGATCAAGAGGATTACAGTTCGAAGCCAGCCCAAACAAATAGTCCGTGAAATCCTATCTTGAAAATACCTAATACACACATAAAAAGGGCTGGTGGAGTGGCTCAAGGTATAGGCCCTGAGTTCAAACCTCAGTACAGTGGGGGGAAACAAAAAGGAAAGAAAAAAGAGAAGATATATTATTCTGAAGGCTCTTTATGTGGGATTTTGAAACCCTGTGAGGGACTGGTGGTGCTATCGAGGCATGAAAGGCTAAGTGAGTGAGAAAAGGAGAGTGTGTGCACAGAGACTTAGTGGTACATAATGTGTATTTGTAACATGGCCAGCTGTGTTTCTCAATCCTTAATCCTGTCTTTGGTGAGAGAACGTGCAGAGAGCCATGACAGCAAATAATGTGTGAACGTTCTTATACCCAAAGGACATCCATATCTGTTGGAAGACTTTGAGTTTTGTTCTTAGATAACCCCTATTAGTTGAGAGAAATGATACTTGTATTTCCCCTTTCCTTGTGTCCACTTCTGTGAATGCTGTATGGTGTGTGCTCTCTTTTCAGTGAAATACAGGGGTGGGACCATGAACATGGCTTGAGCTTCCAGTGTGCTTTGCAGGAGTACTTGGAACCGAGCTCACCAGTGAACTCAGAAGGGTGCAAATTCACTTATCTGTTCGCTATCCATAAGAATGCTGTTTGCTGCAGTTGTGTTCGGAGCTTGGATGCTTTTTGTAAGAGCTGTCAATGTTGGAAATTCTTAAATAAAAGTGATTTATATAAATTTAACAAAAAAGAAATAATATATTATTAAGCAACAATGCAAAACCCAGAGAAAACAGAACTGAGGTTGCTTGATTCTGGTGTGGGAATTCAAGGGGGCAGGGGGAAATAGACCTATTTTTCCAAAACCTTAAGTGCTTTAAGAAAATATCAACATACTTTAAGAAGTACTGTTTTTTTTTTTTTTTAAAGCAGCACTGGGCTTTGAACTCAGGGCCTCATGCTTGCTAGGCAGGAGCTCTACCACTTGAGCCACTCTGCAAGCTCCACTAAAAAAATACTTGTAAAGGATTAGATGCATCATAGAAAGAAACTACGCATCTACAAAGATACAATGATTGATGACAGAGTCTTGCCCTGGTAGTTCAGGCTGGCCACGATCTCATCATCCTCTTACCTCCTGAGTGCACCACCACACCTGGCTACTTCACATCTTTTGAGGCAATAGTCAAATCTGGGAGGGATAAGGGATGATAAAAATCATAGTAGAAAAGGTACAAATCCAAAACAAAAAAAAATGTCAAATTTTACATGAATCATCAAGAAACCAATTAAGTTCATGCTGCAGTAAACTAGACTTGTTCTATAACCAACTATGTAGTCACCAACATTACTCTGTGAGTTCCGCATCTGAAAAAACAGGACATCCAAACACAAGTCTTTTCCCATAAAATTTATTTCCCACCAAGTCTTCATCATCTCAGTAGACACCCTCCCCTCAACTCAGATGGTTAAGAAAAAAGGGGGCGAGAGATACAGCTCAGAGGTAGGCTAGCCTAGTATACACAAGGCCCCAAGTTTGATCCCTAGCACTGCAAAACAAAACGAAACAAAACTGCTCCTTTTAAATGCCTTCTCCTGCCTTTGTATTTTCATCTTGTAGTAGGGCCGGTCAGTCCCAGTCTCTCTGCAATAGTTTCTTAGCTACTGCTCTGTCCATGACGCAGGAGGTGCAATGCCTTAGGGAATCAGAAGAGGGAGAGCACAAGCAGTAGCCTGGGACCTATCATTAACCATAAGGGGCACATACACATGAATTTAGTGTTATTTACTTGGCAGAAAGAATTGGAATCGTTTTGTTTTTCTTATAATAGTAAAAAACATTAAAGGAAGCTATGATATAGAGATTAATAATTAAAAGGAATGCTCTTAACTTTTTGCTCTTTCTGGGAACTATATACATAGAAAGAGCATAAGGTGTTACTATTCATAAAACCATAGTTAGCTTTCTGTAATCATGTAGTTGGCCTTCTCAGATGTTGAAAAGCAAAGATGACCTTTCTGTACAATATAGCACTGGAAATTCTAGCCAGAGAAATTATGCTAAAGAAAGAAATAAAGGGTATTCAAGTTTTTTTTTTTTTTTGGGTACTATGGTTTGAATTTAGGGCCTCCTGCTTACTGGCAAGTGCTCTACCACTTGAGTCACTCAGTCAGTCCAAGAACATTCAAATTGGAAAATAGTAAGTTATACTGAAGCTGAGTGTGGTGGTACATGTCTGTAATTGCAGCAATTAGGAAGCGAATACAGGAAGTTCTCAAGTTCAAGGCCAGACTGGACTACAGAACAAGACCCTGCCTGTCTCAAGGGGGAAAAAAAAATGTCAAATTGTTAGGGTTTATAGATGACATTATCTATATAAACAAAACCCCAAAGCCACTACAAAACAAACCTTTTAAAACCAATAGACATGTTCAACAAAGGTTCAGGATACAAAAATCGTACAAAACTCAGTAACTGTTTAACATACCAACAGCTAATTATTTGAAATGGAAATTAAGAAAACAATCCCATTTATAATAGCTACAAAAATTTAAAACTGAAGAACAGCCAGGTGTGGTGGTGTCCAGGAGAGGGAATTCAGGAAGATTGTAGTTCAAGGCCAGCCCAGACAAAATTAACAGGACCTCTCCCTGCAACTCAACAGTAAGACATGAAGGGTCTTATCATCCCAGCAATGCTGGAGGCCATAGGTAAGAGAATCATAGTCTGAGGCAAGCTTTGGGCAAAAGCTCAAAATCCTACCTGGAAAATAACTAAAAGGTTGAGGGTAGAGCACCAGCCAAGCAAGCACAAGACCGTAAGTTCAAACTCCAGTCCAAAAACACATAAATTTAACTAAAGAGATAAAAGAACTCTACAACGAAACTATAAAACACTGATGAAAGAAACTGAAAAGGATACACGTGAACACACACACACACACACACACACACAAAATGGGAACGGTATCTTGTGTTCATGTACTGGAAGAATCAATTTTGTTAAAATGTCCACATTGCACAATGTGTTCTTTATAATATATATGGAACTCAATACAAGGTCTATAAAATACCAATGACAATCTTCATAGAACTAGGAAAAACTATCCTGAAATTTGTATGGAACTGTTAAAAAAACCCTAAATAGGTAAAGCACTCTTGGACAGAAAGAACAAAGCAGGAAACAATGTATTAACCACCTTCAAAATATACTACAAAGCCACAGTAATCAAAACAGCATGTTTTTGGCATAAAAAGACACACAAACCAATAGAATACAGAACCTAAAAGTAAACAACTAACTAATTTACAACAAAGATGTTAAGAACACAGTAGAGAAAGGCCACTGTCTTCAATAAGCAGTGGTGGGAAAAGCGCAAAAAAACCAGAGTCCTACCCCTTACCAGTTACGGAATTCAACTTAAAGTGGATTAAAGATGCAGAGGTTAACACTCACAACTACGAAACTACTACGAGAAAGTGCATTAGAACACTGGAAAAGCTAAGGAACTTTAAGACAAAACCCCCAAAACACAGGAAACAAAAGCAGAATTAGACAAAAAGGATTAGTCAATCTCAAAAGTGTCTATACAATAAAGGAAACAATCAACAAAATGAATAGACAACCAACAGTGGGAGAAAACATTTAAAAACTATACATCTAACAAGAGGCTAATATCCAGAATACATAAAAGAACTCCCAAAACTCAATAGCAAAGAAACCAAACAATCCAAATTAAAACCAGGCAACAAACCTAAACAGACATTTCTCAAAAGAAGACATACAAATGGCCAACAAGCATATGAAAAAATGTTTGACATCACTAACCATCAGGGAAGTACACATTAAAACCTCAATAAGCTATCACTTCCTCTAGTAAGAATGATCATGATCAAAAACAATAAAGACAAGTGCTGGCAAAGATGAGGAGAAAAAGGAACCCTGCACACTGCTGATGAGAATGTAAATTAGTACTGCCTTTATGGAACACAGTATAAAGGTTCCTTTAAAAATTAAAAATAGAGCTACCATAAGATCCATCAATCCCATTCCTGGGTGTGTGTGTATATGCAAAGAAAGTGAAATCAGTATATTGAAGAGATTTTTGTCCTCCCACGTTTACTGTAGGACTATTCACAATAGTAAAGAAATAGAAACAACCTAAATGCCCATCACTAATGAATGGATAAAGAAAATATGGTATATATGCACAAAGGAATACTATCCAACCATAAGACAAATGCTATCATTTGTGATAACATGAAGGGAACTGGAGATCATTATATGTTAGATGAAATAGGCCAGGCACAGAAAGACAGACACTGCACGATCTCACTCATATGTAGAATGTAAGAATGTTGATTTCATAAAAGTTGAACAGAGCTGA